CGAAAGAAACAGCGCGAGTCGCGTGAGTCCAACGTGAAGGTGTGCAAGGCCTGAGCAGGCGCAGTACCAGGGAGAGTACCAGACTCACTAGCACCTAGAGCAGCAGCAGCTATACCTGGGTCAGGCGGCACACACCGGTAACAGTCACCCTCAGCACAAACAGACAAAGCATACATAGCATAAAGAATAGCATCAAAGTCTAGGTCAAAGATCGCAATCCTAGACCTAAGCAGATCTGCCCAGCGAGGGAGCTCGACGTCGTCACCAAACTCAGCACGCCAAGCGTCGTCAAGGCGAGAGAAGCAGCGGTGCTGAGTGTGAAGCTTCCCGTATGTCTGACCAACACGAACACCTGTGCGAATGACATACGGGCAGCTATCTTTACCCCCAGACGTCCCACGCTGAAACAACCACTCACGGAGCTGCTGGGGCGACTGGGTCTCGCTCCGACGCTGCTGGTGCTACCCCTGGCCACCACCAGGGCCTCCATGCCTAGGTCCAGCCCTACCGCCTGCTGTCCCACCGCCTCCACTGCCGCCACTCCCATCATTGCCTCCACCGCCGCCACTAGAGCCCCCACTCCCGCCACCAGTCCCACCGCCGCCACCACCTCCACTGCCTCCACTACCTCCACTGCTGCCCCCACCACCACTCCCGCTGCCACCTCCACCACCTCCGCTGCCACCTCCACCACCCCTGCCACCCTTGCCCTTGGTGTTGCGGTGCTTCGCACTAGCAAAAGCAGCCCCGACGTCCTCAGCAACAGAGATGTCTGCAGCAGCAGCAGCAGAGGCGTAGGAGGGGGCAAGGGGGGAGGGGGAGCACCCCTCAAAGAAGGGCGCGCGCGGAGTGCCACGAGCAGCACCTACACCAACTGCGCTAGTCTCAGCTGCGAGGAGATGTTGCTCGAGGAGGTCAACAGTGAGGGAGGTGGGGTCAAGGGAGAAAAAGTGATCCCTGACAGAGCGAAGAGAGTCAGGGAGGCGAGTGACTATGAAGTAGAGGGTGATGAACATCCGGGGCTGGTTCCTGTCAAGGAACTCAACAGGGACAGTAGCGCGGTAGCGAGCGTCGCTAGTGCGCAGGTGGGAAACCAGGTCCTCTACTGTGGCAAAAGCTGACAGCTCGGGGAACAGGTAGGTCAGTAGCAGTCGGCCTAGAGCAGCAGTGGCAGGCGAGGAGTGGCGAGCTACGACTGCGGCGTACAGTGCCTGTGCTGTCTTGTGCTATCCGAAGTGAGTGCATTCAGCTAACGGCAGGTGGTTGCGAATGGCTCAGCGGGCAGCAGCGTTGCGAGTAAGCCACTGTGTGCGAGTCGCACTGTCAGCTGTGGCAGGAGGGGCAGTAGCAGCGCCTGACGCTAGGTCAAACAGCGAAACACTGTTCTTAGAATCACTCAGTAGGTACAGCTGCAGATCGTCAAGCCATGTGTCAAACTGAATCGGTCTGCCCTCATGATCAAACGCTAGAACTTGAAGCAAAGCCATCGGAGCACAGTACGTAGGAGCAGCAGTGGCAACAGTAGCAGTAGCAGTAGCAGCAGTAGTAAGAGTAGCAGCAGGGGCCGAGGGGCCGAGGGGCCTAGGGGCCAAGGGGCCGAGGTGCCGAGGGCCTAGGGGCCAGGGGCCGAGGGGCCAGGGGGCCGAGGGGCCAGGGGGGCCAAGGGGCCGAGGGGCCTAGGGCCTAGGGGGGACGGGGCCGCGGGGCCAGGGTCGAAGGGGCCGAGGGGCCGAGGGACCGGGGGCCTAGGGCGACGGAGCCGAGGGGCCAGGGGCGACGGGGCCAAGGGGCCGAGGGCCTAGGGCCTAGGGGGGGGTCGGGCCAAGGGGCCAAGGGGCCGAGGGGGGATGGGGCCGCGGGGCCAGGGTCGATGGGGCCGAGGGGCCGAGGGACCGGAGGCCTAGGGCGAAGGGGCCGAGGGGCCAGGGGCGACGGGGCCGAGGGGCCGGGGGCCGGGGGCCTAGGGCCTAGGGGGGGGGGGGGGGGGTCGGGCCAAGGGGCCGAGGTGCCGGGGGCCTAGGGGGACAGGGCCACGGGGCCAGGAGAGAAGGGGCCGAGGGGCCTGGAGAGAAGGGGCCGAGGGGCCTGGGGCCTAGGGGCGACGGGGCCGCGGGGCCAGGGGCTAAGGGGCCGAGGGGCGAGGGTCGAGGGGCCGCGGGGCAATGTGTCGCGAGGGGCCGCGGGGCCAGGGTCCAGGCGAGGGGCGACGGGCGACGGAGGGCCGCGACGGGCCTAGGGCGACGGGGGTCGCGACGGGCCTAGGGCGACGGGGGTCGCGACGGGCCTAGGGCGACGGTGGTCGCGACAGGCCTAGGGCGACGGGGCGACGGGTCGCGAGGGGTCGTGGGGCCGAGGCTAGGGGCGACGGGGCGACGGTTCGCGAGGGGCCATGGGGCCGAGGCTAGGGGCGACAGTGGTCGCGACGGGCGACGGGCGACGGGGCGACGCCAAGGGGCGACGGGTCGCGAGGGGCCGAGGGGCCGAGGCTAGGGGCGACGGGCGACAGGGGTCGCGAGGGGCTGTGGGGCCTAGGCTAGGGGCGACGCCAAGGGGCGACGGGTCGCTAGGGGCCGAGGGGCCGAGAGGCCGAGGCTAGGGGCGACGGGTCGCTAGGGGCCGAGGGGCCGAGGCTAGGGGCGACGGGCGACGCCAAGGGGCGACGGGCCTACGCTAGGGGCGACGGGCCGGGCTAGGGGTGGCGACGGGCCGGGGCCTAGGGGCGACGGGCGCGAGGCTACGGGCCGGGGCCTAGGCTAGCAGGGCAGCAGGTGGTGGGCCAAAAAAAAAACGGTCCGAGGAAGGGACCTGCTCTGAAACCATGTCAGAAAGAACGAACGAGAATGAATGAACTATGAAAGAGTTGGGTACAAGTACTAACCCTAATTGGGTTGTACCCCTTATGGGCTACCCCACTACAGCTTACACAATGTAAGCTATATATAAGTTTGACATCCTCTTCATCAGAATGGGGTTTCAATCACTTGCGCGTGTACCAAGAGGCAGCCAGCCGTGTGTATTCGCCTCTGCTGCTGGTTTCTCTCGTAGCTTGTTTCTGCCGCTTTCACTCTAGCTTAGATGTAGCTGGTCTAAATACTGACTATGCCAAGCCCCCATGAGGCCAGCATTACTGATGCCCAAGGGAGCGATGATGCGCATCGTTAAGCGCCAGTGGATAGATCTGACGCAGTTACCAGCCTCGATCTGCTCTTTTCGTGCCTCGCCCAAGTAGACACCCATGAACCGCCTGCAGATGTCGCGTCGCCTGCCAAGATCCCTTTCGAACCGATTGATCCAAATGGGTGGGCTGATTGCCTTTCAGCGCCTGATTTTGAGCGAGAACGTGAGGCGCCCCCCGTGGCAGAATCTACGCCAACAACCCTGCCGAATAAGAATGGGCGTTATAAGCAGTTACTGCTCTTGTTTCGCTCCAATGCCTCTGTCGACGGACCATCCGCGCCGTCTCCAATCGACGTGCCTTCGTCGCCCGCCACTGCTGGCGTGCAGCAATCGCCTTCCGAAGCTGGGCCGTCGAAACAGTCTCAGCGCGACGCTATTTACGCTGAGTGTCTGGAGAAATACAAGAGCGAGTGGCTGGAGAGATTTGCTTGGCTTTTGTTACTTAAAACTAATGACGGTTTACCTGCTTTCAAATGCAGTGTCTGTTCTGAACATGCGGGCTACTCTGGACGGTGCGTGAGGGGCGGTAAAGGCGCTACAGACGTTCAGACTCAGGCGTTCAAGCGTCACGCAGCAACTAACAAGCACAAGGTGGCGACTGGGAAGCAAAATGACCTTCTCGCTGCTGTCAGTCGGTAACCAAGGATCAAATGCGACAACTTGGCGCACGACATCGAGAAAGAACGGGTCATCTCGCTGCTCGACTCTCTCCTGTTTGTCACCAAGCAAGACGCACCCATAGAGTTGTGCTAAACTTTAAATCCTTAATTTTCTATTTAATCAGGCTTTTTTTTTATGTAACACTGATCAATCAGGCTTTTTTTTTAGCAACACTAAATTTCCTACCTTATTTTCTTTTAAGAATACTGTCAATCAGCCTTTTTACTCAGGGAGAACCTAATGCATCAGGGTACTAAAAAGTGAATCTGAGGGCCTGACTGCTGCTGCCTGATGCTGTCTGCCCTGACGGTCCAGATGCTCCATAACCGTACGACCCTTCGCGTCATTCCGCCTTTTCGTCTTCAGCCTCGGTACTGCATGCTTCGATTGCTACTGTTAGGAGTGCACAGTATCACTTCATTCTTTACCATTCATAACAGCACGGATAACAAACATTGTTTTTTTAGTAAGTGCTGAGTTACATGAGCAGTGGCTTAGAGAGAATTTGCCGAGCTCTTTTGGCCCAATCTGATAATAAGGGTACGTTCTCTTCTCTGACACACGGCTATCGACAAATCTTATCATTCCACATCATCATCACTTCAAATCCAAATCTTTCAGAGCTTCGTGTGATGCGTCAGAACACCTGACACCGGCCAATAACGTAAGAGAATGGAATGGTTGGATTAGGAAGGTTGAGAGTACAAATACAAACCCTACAATGTGCCTCACTACAGCATATCACACAAACATGCATAGTTTGACACCTACTTGTCCAAACATTTGACGCTACAATCTTTTTAATGGAAATTGCAGACAGCCCCAGCTATATTTAGGTACCAGTACGAAGGAAAGAAAGCTTACTTGCACACACTTGTGACTTGTCACATTCAACATTTTTTAGCCCAACCAAGTAATACGGTACATTGCAGATAACACTGACCGCAAAAGTACATTGGCTTATTAGACAAAGTTCAGTCGAAATATGTTGCACTTTAAAGTGCCTACCAGTCCGAAACTGGGCCTCATACCCAAATTTTGTCTAAACGGTAGAGGAACGCTGGTATGGGCAGAGATGGGAGGGAAAAGGGGAGAAATCAAGGATTGGGGAAGAAGAGAGGGAAGGAGAAGCAGAGGAGGGGGTTCAGGACAGGCCATGAGTATCACGGCTCTGTGCGCCAGCACTTGTGCCACACCGTGTCCAAACACAGCCGTGCCACTGCATACCGCACAGCCGCTCCACACCCTGCACTGCTGCTCTCCCACTTGATCTCCCACGTGCTGCCCCATTTACTCCCCACCCCGCACTCTGCCCCGTCCCCTGCTTCTTCAGCAGCACCACTGCCCAGACTCTCATAGCGATCCGCCATCCTCGCACTCATGCACCCATTCCCACTGCCACCACCACATGCCATCCCGCCGCTGCCACCACCGCCACTGGTGCAGCTGCTGCTGGCCTCGCTCCCCAGAACTTCCCTCAAGGAGGCACCCATGCCGCCCGTGCCGCCTGTGCCGCCCGTGCCAGCCATGCCCCCACCGATGCAGCCAGATAGGGCGGTAAGACTCCGAGAGCGCATGGGTGGAGCCATGACTCGGGCATCAGGCACCAGGAGTTTACCATCAGCAGAGCAGATGGAGATGGTGACAGGTGGATTCCCAGGTGCTTTCCCAGGTGGGTTTTCAGGGGCATTGTTGGTGTGGCCTTCAGGTGGCAGTGGCACCACCTTGGAGCTACTTAGAGAGGCAGAGGCGGAGGCAGAAGCAGAGGCGAATTCCCCATTGTAAAACAGCCTGATAACATTTCGTCTGCCCTCCCCATTGCCACCTTGCTTCACTGCCTTGCTATCACTACTGCTCAGACTAACACTGTCGCTGGTGCTGCTGCTGCTCACGCCCTGGCCCGTGTTTCCCAGCACTGATCGCACACCATCTCCATTCCCCATGTTCTCCTTCTCCCGGCTCTCTGTCTGCCTCTCTGTCCCCCTCTCCACCTGCCTCTCCACAGGCACTCGAATCGTGTCATCGCGGTAAAACCCGTCCTCACACACAGGAGGCGTGAGCACCACAGTAGGATTGCCCACCCCTGCTGCCGCCGTTTGGCTTGGCTTGTAATCTGCTTCTGAGTAGATCACCGTACCAAACGATGCGTCCGTGCACACGGTGCCTATACTCGCTATGCTCGCCGTATCATCAAAAGCCTCCTCGTTCCCTTCCTCCACCGCACCCATGAAAGACATGAGCCCGGCCTCTCTCCGCCCTGACTTCCTCCTGCTGCTCTTCTTCCTCCTCCCTCCTCCACTCCCACCTCCCGCCCCGTCTCCTGCTCCCCCATCCCACGTGTTCTCCGAACCTGATCCTACCGGGGCTAATCCTGAGCCTCTCTGCTCTGGGAACCGACGCTGCGAGCCAGGTATGGGAATGACTGGCTTGATGTCACTGGAGGTAAGGTTAGGGAGCGGCATGGGCAGCTGGGAGAGGAACTGCCGAGGCGGCAGCTGCACCTGCTGCTGCTGGTGATAAGGTTTTTGCTGCCAAGAGGGCTGCTGCTGCTGCTGCTGAAGCAGAGAGTAACCTTGTGGCCCCGGGGAATGGAAGCTAGAGAGGGGAGCAGAATGAGGGATGGACGACAAGGGACCAGAATAGGGAGTGGAGGAGAGAGGGCCAGAGAAAGGGGTGGAAGAGAGGGGGCCGGAGTGCGGCAAGGCAGAGCCAGAGAGGAGGCCTGAGGGGGCGAACTCTGGGAGGAAAAGGACGACTGCGGTGCAATCGTCGGGCCTGACCGACTGGTGCTTTGCCGCCCAGAGGCTGCGAGCATGAGCGATGAGATGCCGGGCGGCGGTCTGACGGGTTGGGGCGGCAAGTACTGCTGACATGGCTTCCTGAGGGGTCATGACGTCCCAGAGCTAGAGGGGCCAAGGGAGCAAAGGATTGGGATAGCAGGGAGGTAGTTGCATCAGTAGGCATGCCCAGCTATTGGTTGTCAGAATATAAAGTAGCACATTCAAATAAAGCATGGAGGGAAGGTGAGTAGGGAAAGAATACAGACAAAGGGGTCAAACATGGAAACAAAGTAGAGAACTGGCACAAGTGATATACTCTGCCAAACATGTATTGTGATAACAGCTGCAACCGAAGCTGAACCAGCACCATTATAAAGACTCACTCCGTCTGAAGCGAGGATAATGAATTCGTCTTCCGAAGTGAGGTGCCGAATCAGGATATCAGGTTCGGCGATCACACCGTAATCCTTCACCACGAAGTCGCCGAACGCTCGCGAGGGCACCAGCCCAGGGCTTCGCTCACGCGGTAACCAGATTCGTGGGGTCCAAGGCTCGTGTTCCGACGCCTGAACCCGCCCTCCCGCTTGCTCAATCCGCTTTCGCTCGGCTGCCAATAGCGAAGGAATGCGAAAAAGGATGACGAAGTCTGAATCTAATCCCACAGTGGAGTTCTAGCCACGTAGTTGTTCGCGGTGCGGAATTCTACAACTCTGAATCGCGCAGTGACGACCCCAAGAGACATTATGCGCCAACAGCACATTGCCTTGACAAAAACTTCCTCTTCCCTTGAGCCAACAGCCACAAGCTGACCACAGCCAAACATGCCGATGATGCCATTCGCCCTCTCCCCCACTCCCCCTTATTCCACCCTGGCCCTCACTCCCTCGCATCTAATTTATTTCCCTTGTGTTCCTACCCTCGTCAACTCACAGGCGACGCTGCACTTGTGGTCGTTGGTGAGCGGTTTGCACTGCATGCCGTTAATTGCGGGTGCGGTCCCGGGAGCTGCGTGGCCCGCCTTGCAACGATACGCCAACACTGCGCGCGAATCGCCAATGCTCGCCACCACCAATCGACGGCCCTGATTATCGGGCGAACACGAGTGGGAGGCAGGCGGACGAGCGGGCGAGTAGGGAAAGACGCGCCGGTCGGGGGTCGTGCAGGGTAAACCACAAAGGCGCCCCATCCACTTTTTTTCACACTTGAAATCTTTCTTGAGAGATGATTCAAACGAGGGCATTACGTCCAGGACTTAGAACAGACCACATAGCGGACAGCTGCGACAACGGCGCTGCCGCCTTGCATATAACGGAACCGCGAAAGGCAGGAAACTCACCAGCAATGCAGCGACGACGGCGGTGCTGCCACTGACGTGGCCGTCCACGTGCGGGTGGCTGCGCAGCTCGTCATCCATCTCCAAAAACGCGCGCCGAAACGCGCGCTCCACCTGCGCCTTCGACGCCTCCTTGGACGCCTCGGCCGCCGCCGCCGCCGCCGCTGCCGACGTAGAGGATGCTGACGACGAGGACGAGTGATAGGGGGAAACGGACCCCCGAGGCGCGGAATTATCCAGCGAATTTGCGGATCGCGACCGATGCAACGTCTTCCCAAACCCTCCGCTCCCGCCGTCGCCGCCACCGCCGTAGCCCGGAGCTAATCCCAGCGGGTGGACCTTGCCCGAAGCGCCTTTGCTCTTGCTGCTGCCTCCATTTACTCCGAGCCGCTGCAAGAGCTGGTCGCTTGCAGGCGCCATCGGCGGCGCGCTCTTGTCGAGGTGGCCGTATGGCGACACGGTTGCTACCGGTGGCGGCGCGAGAAGCGACGCGATGCGGCTCGGGAGCGAGTCGCGCACGCGCTGCGATACGAGGTGGCCGTTGGGACCGTGACCGTCGAATACGGCGCAGAAGATGACGTCAGACGCGGCGCCAGGAGGCATGCGACCTCTCGTGCGACCCGCAATTTCGGGGACGTTAAAATCCTAACGGGAAGCAGGAGAGGAAGTAGCGCGGATAGTCAGCGAGATGAAGGGGGGGGTGAGGAGTTGCACGGAGGGACTTTGCGACACCTCGAAACTAGAAACGAAGAACTAGAGCGGGAGTTTCCGAGAGGGAGGGTGGAAGGAGGTTTGGAGTTACGAGATCACTACTCGGTTTCTCACCCTCCCACGCGTATTCTCGGTATCAGACAATGTGGAAGTCAAACTTCTCAGGTATTAGTACGCACCTCCCACGCGATCATGGAGTCCTGGTTGCAGCCGTGCCGGCCGCCGGGCTCCGAGAACAAGCTGCAGTGCTCCAGCGCGCCGTTCGCGGTGAACCGCAGACGAATTGCCGACAGCCCCAGATCGCGCCGCACCTCGTCCTCCAATAGCTGCTTGACACGACTACCAGACGCAATGGCTGGCCACAGGAAGGGGCAGAAAGCAGGTGGGGGCGGGTTGGAGTTAAGGGAGGGGAAGGGGAGGAAGAGAGATGGTCGGGAAAGGAGGAAGAGAGGGTAGTGGTGGGTGGAGAGGGAGGGGGGAAACCAAACGGGAAAGGGAGAGGGCGAGAGTGGTGTGACCTCTTTTCTCTACCGAGAGAAAGAACTTCCCTCGCTACAATATGCAACGGTCGTAAGGGGAAAAATTGCGCGCTATGGTCGAGGTCGAGAGCGTGCATTGTCGAACGTCGCAATTTCTTTTGATGCGTCGGCAAAGCACTGGTGAGACGGGGTCCGGCAAAAGTGAGCAGCATTCGTCGGTACTCGGATTTGGTGCCATGAGTTCCAGCTGCAGCAATTACAGCGCACGTCGCGCCCATTCGTTCCTTGAGCTGCAAAGACCGTTAGGAGATGCACGCCAAGGCGCCCAGCCGGCGGCGCTTTGTCCGCGGCGCCTCATCCACGGAGCCTTATCTGCGTCGCGGTACTGATTCCTACCGAACAATGCACCTCAGAGCGCCGGACCTGCGTTCACGCGCCGTGCCTGCGTTCCCTCACTAATAACACCGTTCGGTGGCGCATGTCACCGCAGCGTACTGTGCCCCCTCACCTGCGCCCCCTCACCTGACTTTACGTGCCCTCACCTGCGCTGACGCGGTCCTTGAGCTGTTTACATCGTTTGGAGGCGCATGTCAGCGCGCCGCACCTGCGCGCCCTCACCTGCGTTCACGCGGTCTTTGAGCTGTTCCAGCTGCCGCGCTTTCCGCTCGATCGCCTCGTCCTCCCCCTCGTCCCACACCGGCTGCACTTTCGCGGAAGCCCGCGCATTTCCGCCCTTCCTCAAGGCATGCGAAGCGCCCATTCCTCCTGGCGCGGCGCCGATCGCATCTGCCAGCTCTGTCGATGCGGCCGCCCCCATTTTCACCCCTCGGGCTGAGTTGACGGGGTCTGAGGTACCGCTGTTCACTTCTATAGATCTCTATTCTTATATTATTGCAGAACGGCAAGGTTGCAGACGACCGAATGCGCACTTTTAAGACTATAGTAGGGACGAGTTAGAGCAAAGGCAAGTATCAGGAGAAGGAATCGAGGGAGTATAGGAGACACAGCCGGTGGCGGCTGGAACGCGACAGACGTTCCATCAGTTGATTATGACAAGCTGCTTTGATCAAACCCTACTTGTCGACAATAGTGTGTTCAAGAAACGAGATAATCAAATAGTAAGGAAATTATTGAAGATGCTATGCGCGCTGGAGTCTATTACAATGGACCTCGCCTGGTTGAACCCTGGAACTAGTGATAAGGGATTGTATGGACCTCATGACACCTCATAGCTTTGAACAGAGCTCGATTGCTTCGTCGAGCTATGTCCCTTGACCGCCTTCGACCAACTATGCCGTGGCGACTTGTGCACTGTGCTGTGAAGGCAAGCGCGAATCGAGCCGCTCTGCTCCAGCACAGGTGGATAAAGGTAAACAGTGACTTCCTGAACCAGCTACCACAGCAACTTGCTGCGGGGGGGGCGTGCTCCAATCGAAGGCTTCAATGTAACGGAACAGTTGGGACTTGGAAAGGGCTTGGGTGGGATGAGTATCTGGTAAAGCGAGGAAGAGTTTGGCAGGAACCTTACCCAATCCGTCAAAACTACTATCACAATTGTTCTATCGCAGTGAACCGAAGTCGAACGACCTTATAAGATCCAGCCGCACCAAGTATGCATGCCTTGGCTTCTCTATGGCTAGACAGTTTTCCATTGGACGAAATATGGAATGGGATGGTGCTGTGCGCGTGGCGATTGATGAATGTGTGGTGCGGATGGGGCGGTTGGGGCTGGAAAGAGGGGCGCAAACAATGAGTCGAATCGAAACAAAATGTCTGCATGCCGTGTTTGACTCGCTCCAACATTGCGGCTCGGTGCTTCGCCCCTTGAGCGCCCTTGATCCAGGAATGTGGAGCGGCTCGGTGAGGAAAAAATCCACGTGGCGATACTGGCGCAGCTGGTGGCCCTGTAACGGGGAACGCATTGCACGAACCCTGGATCTGGTTCGTGCAACAGTTCCGCCTTCTTGTGTGAGTGGCTGATGCCACTGGCACGTAACAGAGGTGCCGCATCTGACGCTTGCTGCGACTTGGCTGACCAACAACCCCAGCAGCACGACCGTATTTCTGAATAATTCGTTCCGAGTCGCAAATATGGGCAGGTGTATTAGGCTTATGTTTCAGAAGCTTACACTAAGGGTACATTCCTGTGGGGACACTTGTGTCTCAATCCCCGTTTTCCCGAGTCGCGCCTGTAAATTTGCCAAATGTTGTGTCACAAACAACCAATGTATCGCGACCCTGCGCGACAGATGGGCACAGCCAGGTGGGTGCGTACTATTGGTTGCGACCAATAGGATTGTGCCCACCCAGTTTTCCCGCCGGGCAGGGGGGCTAAACATATCGCACCACCTCGAGTATCGCGGTGGGCTTGCCACAGAAATGAAAGTTGCAATTTGGGCCACCCCACACACAACAGCATGTATACAACCACGGCTCCAAGTACAAAAACGCAAGCATCACAGAGCTAAACTGCACCACTGTCTAGCAACCATGGCATCGCCCCGCGAGGTGCCATTCCTCATGCGCCTACTTGTCGCATGGGTTACGTTCTACTACAGCATATTCATGGACGCCATCGCCAAGTCGGTCGGTGGCTTGCTGGAGGCGAACGTCTTCAATGACGAGGTGTCCTCGTCATCCAGCTCTCGCGCCTCCAACCGTACCGCAGAGCGGAAACGAAGGGCTGGGCTACGCCGGCGGAGATACCAGTTGCTGCTAGAGGACCTGGACGGCATGGGGGAGGATCAGTTCAGAGATATGTTTCGCATAAACCGTGGCATTCTCGAATACATTGTCGCCGGGATGACGCACTACATGCAACCGTACGTGGACAGGTACCTAATCAGTCATGAAGTGGAATGCCTTGTACCTATCAAATACCTCGCAAGTGGCATGTCTTTCGTAGACTTGTCCTCCGTGTTCGGGATGTCCAAGACCCTGTGCCACATGCTTGTTGACGCGCTCCTCATGCATTTCCCGTCCGTCTTCAAGCAGCAGTGGGTCCACTTCCCGACCCGCGACGACCTCGACGAGATGGCCGCAGAGTTCCGCGCCATCAAGGGGGTACCTGCGGTAGTGGGGGCTATAGACGGCACACACATACCCATGAAGGGGATGGAGGGGCACAGGCAAGAGTACTACACGCGGAAGTCCTGTTACGCCGTCCAGTTGCAGATCACATGCGACGCGCGAGGCATCATATGGGACTATTTGATCGGATACCCGGGCAGTGCGCACGATCAGAGAGTGTTCATGAACAGCGCGTTACACGAAAGGTTGTACAACGGCGACATAGCGCCATACCAAATAGTGGGAGATGCTGCCTACCCACTCAGAGACTTCTGCCTGACCCCCCTACATGCTCCCCGTGAAGGCCTAATGGAGGACTGGGAGCAGTGCTTTAACTATTGCCAAAGCGCAACGCGCATGGCAGTAGAGCGCTGCATCGGCGCCTTCAAAGGCCGGTGGCGTCTATTCGCGGGCCGCAATGACTGCAAGCTCTGGCGCATTCTTGCAGGGGCGTCTTGTGGCGTCATCCTGCACAACATGTGCGAAATGATGGGCGCAGTAAGGCGCGTCAATGCATCGTGGGCAAACTTGCCCCGAAACCGGGACCCATGGTGGACTCGTGGCGCGGTAGCAGAGTTCATGTGGGAGCCATGTGACCCATGCACGCAAGAGAATCTTCGTGAAAGGCGCAAGCGGCTGGGCGAGGCTCTGGAGTCGTCTTACCTCACTCGGCGGCGCCGCGGACCCACACCTCCTCACCCGCATCTGGGTTAGAGGGGTCTTCGCCCGCCTGCCCGCGACGAAGCCAGCCGTCGTCGCCGCCTTCGGCGGCGTGCGAGTCGGTCATGTTGTCCGCGTGGGCAGGGATGTCGTCGCGGACATGCGGGGAGGGTGCGGGCTGCTGCACGCGTTCCCGAGCAATACGCGCGTCCTGATCCATCCACGCGCGGACGAGGCCTTCGAGCCTGCTCATGGCGTCTGAGTGGCAGCCTTTGATCGTCTCGCACACCAGCTTTGCAGCGGCCATCGTCGCCGTCTCTGCCACACGTGGGCGCTTCGATGTAGGAGTTCCCTGTGGCGGCGGAGCTGCACACACGGTGGATGCACACGAACAGTAGACGAGGTGTTATGTACCCTAAACATTTTAATGATGTAATGTGTGCGTAAAATGTTGTCACAAAATGTGTCATTCAACAAACCCGCGAGTGCCACCGTTGATGCAACACATACATACCAGTGAATGTCGGCGTAGAGGTGCAGGGCGCCGAAGTGGACGGGACCGCGTACCCGCACGGCACGTTGACGTGTGCCGCACCGCCACCGTCGACGGCGTGAGGGTTGCCCACCGCCTTGTTGTTCTGGAAAAGCGCCATGTACGGGTACCAGTGAGGCTTGCACACGGCACCCTTGCCGCTCGCCTTTTCCCCCTTCTTGATCTGCTTGTACATGTTCACAAGATTGCGCCACTGCTTCTGAAGCGCGTTTACACCGCGCACCCAACCGGGATTCTCCTTCTCGAGGTGACGCGCGAGGCGGGCCCAGTACTGAGAGCCCTGCTTCCCGAGGAGGGGCCCGAGCTCGTCCTTCATGAACCAACGCGCAGCCACGAAGATTGTGTTCTCGCGGGGGGACCACACGCTCCGCTTAACAGGATGCAAGTTACGGGTCTTGGCAGCGGCACGCGGAGGTTCCCCTCCCTTAGCAGCAGTCTTGGTTCCCGCAGCGGCAGACGCACAGCCGCGACGAGGAGCCGGGGACGCAGGCTGGGCCTCTTCGGGAGCGTCCTCGTCGTCATCGGCGTCCTCGTCGGCGTCAACTTCATCCTCGGAGGGGGACATGCCCTTGTCCTGCTCCTCGCCAGAGTCCGCGTCGTCTTCGCAGGCCTCGTCGCACTCGTTGTAATCAGAGTCCGCGGCGTCATCATCGTCATCGAAGGCAGCATCTTCGTTGACGCGGGATGAGGCAACCCGGTCGGCATGACGGCGTCCGCGGGTAGGGACATCGCGCGGGGCTTCGAACGAGGTGTCCCCCGCACCAGGCGCTCCTTCGGGCAAAGGGCCGGCGGGCTTGCGGTCGGCCGCGATTTGTTTGTTCATCCAAGCGATGTACGGGATCTCGTCGAGATCCCGCGGGCACAAGTCAACAGAACTAGCTACGCTCTTGCGCTTACGGGCCATGGCTACAGCGTGCCAAAGAAGACCCTGGCTAGACTTCGCAACAAGAAAGAGGAAGCTCGGGTTGGGAGAAGAAGAACAGATTGGAGCGGGAGCGTGCTGTCAGTGTGGTTGGAACGATGGGCAAACATTCGGGCAGGGATGTGACCGTGTGTGCTGAAGGACCAGTCATATGTCAGCCCAGGCAGAGCGGTTTCCATCCCCGCGCGGAAACGTGCCCAGTTCGGGCGTCCAGGTGCATGCTGTACAGTGTGAGATTTCGACACGCGTGCGATTTTCGGGATGTGACGGGGCCTCGTGTAACTCGTCCGCGACACAAGCGCAATTCACGCCAACCAATGTAAAATACAGTGGGACTCGCATAAGCGCGATCCGCTTTTGTGACAGGGCACGGTATATGCTGTTTTTAGATGTCACGAAGTGATTGAGACACAAGTGTCCCCGCAGGAATGTACCCTAAACCTAAAACAAATGCAATACTGAACAGGACCCTCACACACCTCTTTTACCAGCTCATTGGCCTGATCATGTTGCGTACTGGTTGAAATCACTATCTAACATGTAACCATTCAAGTATTCTCATTTCTTAGCTCTTTTAGCACTCAGTGGTGCTTGCCATGGTGCTCCTCATTGAAACAGCTCACGACTTACGGTAACTCCTTATGGTGCTTGCCATGGTGCCACTGTATTGCTACTTACCAGCACGCCACTAACTCACATGCCGAATCCGCATAAAGAATGCACACAAGCACGATGAACTACGGCGAGTCACGCCAACTCTCACGCACCAACGGCCATGTGCCAGTGCGGATCCGCAAAGCTCCTCAGCAGCTGTCTGAGCATGTTGGTGCTACCCCAGTCAACCTCAGATGCCAAACCGGTGAGATGCTGGCTGCGAGAGCCACGCAGGGAGAACCGCCTCCGCCTCTCCTGATACAAGGAAGATACTGTAATGCTAGAGATGTCCAAAATAATGTACCAAACCTCAGCATTATACACCAGCATTCATGCGCCCACAGCTGTGTGCCTGTGCGAATCTGCAAAGCTCCGCAGCAGCCGTCTCAGCATGCGGGTGTTGCCCCACTCAGCCTCAGATGACGAACCGGTGAGAGGCGGAGGAGAAGAGGCAAGCTGAGTGAGCCACGCAGGGAGGACCGCCTCTGCCTCCCCTGCTCTCAGGAAGCCAGGCGGCAGAGAGGATAACTGAGACAAGAACGCGAAAACAAGAGTGGGATGACACGAGGCAAGGAGAGAGATGAACGAGGAATTGAGAATGGGATGCAGGCAGGAAGGACCGCCTCTGCCTCTCCTGCCCTCAGGAAGCCAGGCAGCAGGGCGCATAGCTGGTACAGGCGAGGGAAAACAGGTGGGGAGTGAGAGAGTAAGAACGAGTGATTGAGAATGTGAGATCGGCAGGGAGAATAGGCTCCACTTCTTCTGCATGAGTGCATGGGTGCATGGCTCTATATGGGTGCATGGATGCATGGGGGCATGGATGCATGGGTGCATGGGTGCATGGATGCATGGGGGCATGGATGCATGGCTGCATGTCTGCATGGGTGCATGGATGCATGGGGGCATGGATGCATGGGGGCATGGATGCATGGGGGCATGGATGCATGGGGGCATGGATGCATGGCTGCATGGCTGCATGGCTGCATGGGTGCATGGATGCATGGGGGCATGGGTGCATGGCTGCATGGGTGCATGGATGCATGGGGGCATGGATGCATGGCTGTCTGCTTGGGTGCATGGATGCGTGGGGGCATGGATGCATGGGGGCATGGATGCATGGGGGCATGGATGCATGGGGGCATGGATGCATGGCTACATGGCTGCATGGCTGCATGGGTGCATGGATGCATGGGGGCATGGGTGCATGGATGCATGAGGGCATGGATGCATGGCCGCATGGGTGCATGGATGCACAGGGGCATGGCCGCATGGGGGCATGGGTGCACCACTGCAGGGCTTATCTGGGAAACATTTGTCACAAAACAACCCCACCTTCTCCAACCCCCGGACCAGCCACTCAGCCACCCAGTGCTGCCTGCACTGCCACTGATGAGTCAGGCAGGGCCAGTGCTGCCTGCACTGCCACTGCTGCCTGCACTGCCACTGCTGCCTGCACTGCCACTGCTGCCTGCACTGCGACTGAGAGCGGTGGCAGTGCCGTGATTGTGGCACAAGCGACACAACAAAACCCGGGCCTCTTAAACCCCCCACGCAGCAACCCACAACCACGCAATCAATCGACCAGCCACCCAGCCACCCACCCAGTCACCCACCCAGCCACCCACCCAGCCACCCACCCAGCCACCCACCCAGCCACCCACCCAGCCACACGGACACCCACCGCTGCCACAAGCCATTGGTGCATTGGGGGCAGTGCTGCCTGTACTGCCGCCGCTGCTGCTGCAGCTTCAGCTTCTGCTGACCCAGGCGTGCTTCCCTGTGTGTGGGAGGAACCAACTTCTCGAGCTGCACAGCAGCACACGTGGAAGAGTTGCTGCAGCAGACCCACACACTTGTGCACCTGGTGGGGTGGGAGGGTATGGGAGGAGAGAGGGAGGAGGGGAAGACATGCAGCTTCAGCTTCTGCTGACCCAGGTGTGCTTCCCTGTGTGTGGGAGGAACTGGCTGCTGGAGTGGCATGGCAGCACACGTGGAAGAGTTGCTGCAGTAGACCCACACACTTGAGCACCTGGTGGGTGAACAGTGTTGGGGTGGAGGAGGGGAGAAAAGAAGAGATGTTTGAAGTGATGTTTACGCAGCACATGTGGTAGAGCTGATACAGCTGGCCCACACAATTGTGCGCCTGCTACATACGTGAGCAGAGGGAGAGGGGGGCATGAAAGGGGGGCATGAAAGGGGGGCATGAAAGGGGGGCATGAAAGGGGGGCATGAAAGGGGGGCATGAAAGGGGGGCATGAAAGGGGGGCATGAAAGGGGGGCATGAAAGGGGGGCATGAAAGGGGGGCATGAAAGGGGGGCATGAAAGGGGGGCATGAAAGGGGGGCATGAAAGGGGGGCATGAAAGGGGGGCATGAAAGGGGGGCATGAAAGGGGGGCATGAAAGGGGGGCATGAAAGGGGGGCATGAAAGGGGGGCATGAAAGGGGGGCATGAAAGGGGGGCATGAAAGGGGGGCATGAAAGGGGGGCATGAAAGGGGGGCATGAAAGGGGGGCATGAAAGGGGGGCATGAAAGGGGGGCATGAAAGGGGGGCATGAAAGGGGGGCATAGGCTTTCTTTGCACACGTGTAGCCCTCATGCCATATGGCACATAGCACATGGCACATAGCACATGGCACATAGCACATGGCACATGGCACATGGCACATGGCACATAGCACATAGCACATGACACATAGCACATGACACATGGCACATAGCACATTGCACATAGCATATGGCACATGGCACATGGCAGATGCCAGGACCAGTGCGGTAACTGGACCCCTCCACCAGGCACACACACCTGGCAGTGGCTGTGACATTGGCATCACACATGCCAGTGCGAGAGCACACATACCCGTGAAACAGCGCTTGGGCCCAGCAGAGCAGCGACGAGAGTGTGGGAGAGCAGAGCGCCGTGAGCCGTGCCGAGATGCACCAGGGGAGGCACCCCCTGCTGCTGTGCCTGTGAGCAAGGGTGACTGTGGCTGCAAGGCAGTGGCAGTGGGAGTGGTGGTGGCACAAGGGCACAGTGGCACGTACCCGTGAAACAGCGCTCGGACCCAGCAGGGCAGCGACGAGAGTGTGGGAGAGCAGAGCGCCGTGTGCCGTGCAGAGCTGCACCAGAGGAGGCATCCCCTGCTGTGGCTGTGGCTGTGGCTGTGACTGTGACTGTAACAAAAGAGCCCCGGCCTGCTGTATCCCTGCAGTCATCAGGGCTGGAAGCGTGGGATGATAGAGGGGAGTCGGGGTGGTAATGAGGGGTGGAGGGGGGTTCGAATGAAAGTGATGAGAGGCATGGGTGGTGTGGGAGGAACATTGGTTGTGTTGTGACAATTAGGGGATGTGTGTCACAATGTTGCTCTGCATCCCCTCTACGCCACCCCTCGTTTCCGCTAGAGCACCCGCTGGAGCACCTCTCTAGAACCGCTGGAGCACCTCTCTAGAACAGCTGGAGCACCTCTCTAGAACCGCTGGAGCACCTCTCTAGAACCGCTGGAGCACCTCTCTAGAACCGCTGGAGCACCTCTCTAGAACCGCTGGAGCACCTCTCTAGAACCGCTGGAGCACCTCTCTAGAACCGCTGGAGCACCTCTCTAGAACCGCTGGAGCACCTCTCTAGAACTGCTGGACTATGCCAAGACAGATATTTAAAGAGCCAAATGAAGTCCCTGAAGTATTCAATTGGCGATCAATGGGCGATCAACGGTCTGAGATGAATGAGGTGAAGGAGCGAATGAGGTGAAGGAGCGAATGAGGTGTGCGACTGACCTGAGAGGAAGGCGAAGGAGCAGGCAGAGAACCCCTTGTGAGCGGCTGTGCGTGCACTTGCAGCCACTGCTTCCCCATGCGAATAGCATGGGGGGACAAGAGCCTGTTGGGTGACGCTAGGGGAATGCAGTGACGCACCTGAGAGGAAGGCGAAGGAGGAGGCAGAGACCCCCCTGTGAGCTGCTGTGCAGCCAGGAGCTGCTACTTGCAGGAGGTGGGAGAGCGGTGGGAGCACGGGTGAGGAAGGGTCTGATGCCTGCATGCGAGAGAGTGAATGGGAGGGGCGGAGAGGAGGGGAGAGGAGAGGAGGAGTTTGCAGTGAGACGCTGTGCAGCCCCTGCTGCGACTTACAGGAGGTGGGAGAGCGGTGGGAGCACGGGTGAGGAGGGGTCTGATGCCTGCAGGTAGGGGAAGGGAAGGGAGGGGAGGAGCAGAGCGGGTTGCACTGGGAGATAGAGGGAGGGCAACAGCAGCAGCCACTTGCTAGAGGTGGGTGGGAGAGGGGCGGGTGGGAGGAGCATAGGGAGGAGCGCTTTGATGCCTGCAGGTAGGGGAAGGGACGGGAGGGGAGAGGAGGATGGGGACGGAGGAGTTGAGAGGAAAAGATTGCAGTGAGGAACGAGAAGGGGTCGTGCTGCCCCTTGCAGGGGTGGAGTGGGAGGGCAGGGCAGCGGGAGTCAAGAGGAGCAGGAAGGGAGCAAGAGGAGAGGGGAGGGGAGGGGAGGGGAGGGGTAGGGGAGGGGTAGGGGAGGGGAGCAAGAGGGAGCGTGGCGTTGGCTCACGAGGTGAGCAAGGGGGACGAGGCTAAGCAGAACCGTTGTGAAGTGCAGCAACGCTTCACTGCGCTCCGGATAGTGCTCTGTGCCCTTGCAGCCATTAAGAAAAGAGGAGGTGGTGCGTGCAGGACGCAGGGCCGTATGGTGCATGCATGCAGGGGTCAGTGAGTGCACGCAGAGGAGAGGGGACGATGCGTAGAGGGGAGGAGGAGGAGTAGGAGGGAGATGAGGGTATCTGGTATCCTATAGTGCTGTACACCCCACATGATTACTGAAGGACCATATGAGTGGGAGGGAGTGAGTGGGAAGGGGGTGGTTTACCAGGTGAGCTGGAGGAACAAGGCCGAGCAGAAACGTAGCAAAGTGCAGCAGCGACTCAGTGAGCTCTGGATGCTGCTCCGCGCCCTTGGGACCCTTGAGTGCCATGCTGGCAGGTGCTGACACGAAGCACACCAGCGCTGACGTGGCGTGGGCCATGATGAGCTGGAGCTGATCCGCGGTGGCAGGCGGTTGCGGTTGCAGGGAGAGGAGGGTCTCGGAGGCTCGGAGGATGGGTGGGCAGACAGAGAGGGAGAGAGGGGCGGGTGGCTGACCAGATGCAGAGAAGGCGGATTGGAGGGAGGTGAGGGCGGATTCGGTGCAGGGGAGGAAGGATGGGCCTAGTGGGATGGGATGGGATGGGGTGGGGTGCAGAAGGGAAGGAGATAGACACGGTTTGAATAAGAGAAGAAGGCGCAGAGATGGTGGATAGGCGCGACAAGGCACGGTACATGCAGGCGTTTGGAGAGGGGAAGGGGTGGATGCAGGGGAGGAAGGTTGGCCCTGGTGGGTGAGAAAGGAGGTGAGAGATCGCCTCAGAGTGCAGATCACCTGAGAGCGTGGCGAGTGGAGCAAGGCAGCGGGCGGCAGCAGCCACCGCCGTGGTCAAAGCATCACGGTCGAGAGTGGGGGAAGTGGAGGAGGAGGAGGTGAGGGAGAGGAGGAATTGCAAATGTGGCCAGCAGGCAGAGAGCAGGAACGATTGGATTCTTCCACGTGTCTCCGTTGGTTGTAGAAGCAGCTGATCCGGTGATTGCATTTGGTGTGACTGTAGCGAGGGGGGCAGCTGCTGCAGGTCCTGTGGCAGTTGGGGGTCCTGCCTCTGAACCTCGGGTGATGGTAGGTGGATGTGCTCCAAGAGAATGGTCAGTCTGGGTGGGGGAAGGATTTGGGAAACAATGAGACACGCGTTAGGTGTTGCAGGGTGAGGGATGGGTGACGGTAGGCGAATGTGCTTCAAGAGAATGGTGAGTCTGGAGGGGAAAGGGTTTGGTGTGTAGAGTGGAGTTGATGGAACGATCAGATTTGTGTAGGTGTTGAGAGGGGGGGGTCAAGGGTGACGATTGGCTTTTGAGTAGACTCAAGTCATCTTGTTTAGCGGGGGGTCAAGGGTGACGATTGGTGGAAATGGTCGAAGAGAAAGGACTAGTGGGGGACAGGGTATGGTGTATGGTATGGTGCTTCGGGAACGATGAAAGGTGTAAAAGAAGGGTGAACAAGAAAGGGGGTTGGACTTAGGAGACGATGAGATAAGTGCACTGTGCATGGTGACAGACAGCAGGTGGATGTGCTGTGAAAGAGATGACGAAGTGGAAGGCGGATCAGAAGGTGAAGGCGATCGAAATAGAAGGTGAAACAGAAGGCAAAACCCGAGTCGAACCGAAGGCGAAATTGAAGGTGTATCAGAAGGCGAAACCGAAGGCGTCCCAAAAGTTGATAAAGAAGGTGATGAGATATTCACAAGCTTGCAATATCTCATGGCCTCACATTCTCAGGCTTGTATGTACTGATGAAGGTTCGCAAGAACCGAAACTAGTTTACGCAAGTTCTGGATTAAGTTGACGTTTTGTTTAAACTGGCTCTCTGATACAACGCTCTAAGCTCACAGTTAACCAGGAAAATTCCATCCATTCCATGGGGTTTGTCTCGTCGTTTGAGACGTCTCAAAAGTTTGTCTCGTCGTTTGAGACGTCTCAAAAGTTTGTCTCGTCGTTTGAGACGTCTCAAAAGTTTGTCTCGTCGTAACCATACGAGTTGATGGAAGTAAGACCTCCGCAGCCCACCTGTCTGCGTCTGACAGCTCCTTCACAAGCTTGCAATATCTCATGGCCTCACATTCTCGTTTGCACCCGACTCACCTGGTGAGGGAGGCAGCAACCTCACAGCAGCTCTTGCTGGATGCCTGCTGCTGCTGGGGAGAGGTGTGGAGGTTGAAGGAAGGGACAATGGGATGATTGATTGCATATGGAGGGGAAGTAGCTTTGAGAATTCTCAAAAGGGAGGCAGCAACCTCACAGCAGCCCTTGCTGGATGCCTGCTGCTGCTGCTGCTGCTGCTGCTGGGGGTTGGCGGGGGGGGGGGGGGGGGGGGGGTGGGGGTGGGGGGAATAAAGGCAGGGAGAATGGGATTGTTGGGATGCAGATGAAGGCGAAACTGGAAAGCTGGGAGGTTACCAAGGAGAACATGTGCAATGCTGCACGGAGCATTTCCGAGGAGAAATGGTATGCTATGCGAAGCTGCAAGCACGGGATGCAGCAGGCACTGCAGCGGTAGCAGCAGGTGTTAGCAGCATTGGATCAAATTGTATGGCAGGTGAAATGTCGAGGAGAAGGCATGCGAAGCTGCAAGCATGGGGTGTAGCAGAAGCTGCAGCGCTAGCAGCAGGCGCACATAGAATAGCATCAACTTAACGGTACAGCAGGGGAATTACCGAGGAGAAGGCGTGCAGGGTTGCAATCACGGGGTGCAGCAGACGCTGCAGTGCCAGCAGCTGGTGGGACGGCGACAGGGAGGAGACGGAGGAGGCCACTGCTGTGATGACGTCAGCCTCCTGCTTCGGCTGTAGCCGCGCCAGGTGTAGAGTCTGAGAGGGGTGGAGGGAAGAGGTGGTGGGAGGGGATGGAGGGAGGAGGTGGAGGGAGGAGGTGGTGGGAGGAGGTTGTGGGATGGGAGAGGAGGAGAGAACAATGGAGTGGGGAAAGAGGAGTGAGGGGAAGAGGAGGCGAGAGCAATGGAGGGTGAAGAAATTGTGTTAGAGCATAGGCAGGTGGAGCATAGGCAGGTGGAGCATAGGCAGGTGGAGCATAGGCAGGTGGAGCATAGGCAGGTGGAGCATAGGCAGGTGGAGCATAGGCAGGTGGAGCATAGGCAGGTGGAGCATAGGCAGGTGGAGCATAGGCAGGTGGAGCATAGGCAGGTGGAGCATAGGCAGGTGGAGCATAGGCAGGTGGAGAAACCGTGGGTAAGTTTCCACACTTCACACACGGATACTGAATTGTTGATCCGATTAAAAAAAGAGGGTGATGAACGTGTGGGAGGGCAGGGGCAGATGGAGAAAATTTCTGCCACCGTTAGCACGCTCACCCACCTCGCCCACAGCCACCAGCTGTGCCGCCAAGCCTTCGTTCACCGACGCTGATGCAGCTGCAGCAACAGCAGGTTCCGATTCATCGGCATTGTGTGCCTCACACAGGGCGCAGAGCGCAGCAGCACACGCCGACGTGGCCTGCTCGCTTGCTCTTCCACAGCCGCCGCTGCTGCTGCCGATCCTCCTGCCACCCGTTGCAGGTGTGGATGCGCCTCCTGGGGGGGCTGCGTGCTGTGATGTGGGAGGCAGCAGCCCCTGCGAGAGGGATTGCCTGACATGGGGGGAGAATGTGGGTCAGTTTTTTAGACGCCTTAAATGGCAGGGAGGGAGGCCGATGTCACAAGAGGGAGGGTTGGCGGGCAGGAGGAACAGATGTGCACCTCGGGAAATGAAAAGAGGCAGAGCTGTGGAGAACGAGACGGGTTATGGAAGAGGAAGGTGAGGAAAGGGGGATAGGGAAGGGATGGAAATGGATGAGAAAGGAAGGGAAGGGAGGAGATTAGAAGGAAGGGAAGGGACGTACAGCAAGGCAGGGACGATGGTCGGCACGCGAGGGAGGAAGGAGAGGTACGCCAACACATTGGCTGCCACTGCTCGATGCACCTGTTGGGCAGGGTGATGGGGTATGAGGCGAAGGATGGGGTCATGGCATGGGGTGATGGGATGGGGTCATGGCATGGGGTGATGGGATGGGGTGATGGCATGGGGTGATGGGATGGGGTCATGCCATGGGGTGATGGGATGGGGTGATGGCATGGGGTGATGGAATGGGTTGTGTACTTGAAACGCCTTAGAAGGAGAGGTATGCCAACACATTGGCTTCACGGCACGATGCACCTGTTTAGATGGAGGATGGGGTGATGGCATGGGGTGATGGCATGGGGTGGTGGGAGGGGGCGATAGGATGGTGGCATGTGATGGGAGCATCTGGTGGGGGCATGTGATGGAAAGATGGCATGGGGCATGTGATACAGACATGTGATGGGGGCATAGCTCTATGTGCATCCTATGTACCCATGGCAGCAGCATGGAGGCATGGGGAGATGCAGGAAGGACAGCAGCAATGGGTGGCATTGGCAATGCTGGCAGCAGATATGGCTCACTCTTGACCCAATTATTCCTGTAGCACCACACACCTATTGTCGTCCTTTATCCCACTCACCCACGGTTGTAACCGGGGAGGAATGGAAGGCTGGGGAGCTGTAGCAACAGCAGCGGCAACGGCAGCCACTGCTGTTAGCACCTGACATGCCCATGCCGCGTCCTCTGGCCTATCAGAATCCGCCACCTGGCCAACCTGCAACACGGCATTCAAAGAAACATCATATGGGGCACACACATTATTTGTTAGGTTTTGTGGCATACAAGCACACACAATAGTACCTTGGCTTGGGATGCTAGCACAGAGCATGGAGCAACACGGGATGCAATCTGCTACATATGCACTCACAACTCAGTGTGCCACTCTTTCATCCTCTCCCTCACTCACTCGCTGCTCGGTGTGCCACTCCCTCACTCACTCACTCACACACTCACTCACTTGCTGCTCGGTGTGCCACTCCCTCCCTCACTCACTCACACACTCACTCACTCACTCGCTGCACGGTGTGCCACTCCCTCCCTCACTCACTCACATACTCACTCACTCGCTCGCTGCTCGGTGTGCCACTCCCTCCCTCACTCACTCACACACTCACTCGCTCGCTGCTCGGTGTGCCACTCCCTCCCTCACTCACTCACACACTCACTCGATCGCTGCTCGGTGTGCCACTCCCTCCCTCACTCACTCACACACTCACTCACTCACTCACTCACTCACTGCTACTACACTGCCACTCACGGCCTGGGAGACGAAGAGCTGGAGCTCCAGTGCTGAAACGTCGGCAAGCAGTTGGTGGGGTTGAGGGGGCGGAGAGACCCACTCGCTCACTCACAAGCACAGTCGGAGAAAGAGACAATTCATTCTCTCTCTGCTCAATCTGCCACTCACTGCCTCAGAGGCGAACAGCTGGAGCTCCAGTGCTGGAGGGTCGGCAAGCAGTTGGTGCGGTTGGGGGGTGGGAGAGGCTAGCAGGACCGGTGCCGCCTGCAAGCAGGGCAGACAGCAGGGATGGGGGGGTTGGGTGGGACCATAGGTGCGGGCAATTTGACTTTTGATTCGACTTGAAAGTAAACTTGGGGGTGGGGTGCCGGAGAGGCTAGCAGGACCGGTGCTGCCTGCAGGGCAGACAGCAGGGATGGGGGAAGGGGAACCATGGGTGCGGGCTGCAGGAAAGGCAGAATGGACATCTTTGAAGGTGGCTTGTAGCGCCTGCACTCAGTTCAAGTCCCCCACATGACTCAAGTCATGGTTCAAGTCCCCCACATGACTCAGGTCATGGTTCAAGTCCCCCACATTACTCAAGTCATGGTTCAAGTCCCCCACATTACTCAAGTCATGGTTCAAGTCCCCCACATGACTCAAGTCATGGTTCAAGTCCCCCACATGACTCATGGTTCACACACACAGGGATCAAATCGCACTGCATGCACAAATCCAATCACATCCGCCAGACCAATCAAACTGCATCTCCCACACGAATCATACCCAGCCATACTCACACAGGAGAGGAATCTAGCAGCACTCAGCACTGGAGCTCCAGCCATTCGCTCTCATCACATCCGCCAACGTCTCTTCCAGCTGCTCCACTCCCAGTAGGCCTCCGCTGCTTCTTAGTGTTCAAACTCCCTTTGAAAAATCAGAGGAAACACGGAATGTATCAAGTGAGACCAAGCAATACTTACACAGGAGAGGTAGTTCGCCGCCCCCACTGCTCTCATCACGTCCACCAAAGTCTCCTCCAGCTGCTCCCGATAGTCCTCTGCTGCTGTCACTTAGAGCACACACGATTTGTTTCACGTCAGACCCCAGCAGCACTCACACATGAGAGGTAGTTCGCCGCCCCCACTGCTCTCATCACGTCCACCAACGTCTCCTCCAGCTGCTCCCGATAATCCTCCACCGCTGCCTCTGCCTCATCCTCCTCCTCTTCCTCCTCCTCCTGCTGCTCGCTTGCCATTCCCCCGCCTACTCTGCCCGTGCTGAGCTGCATGCATGCAGGCACGAGAGCAACGGAAAAGAGCACGGTTAGAGGCGCGTGTGGGATACCGTATCTCAAGCTATCATAATGAGCTCTCAAAAGCGTGCACAAGGAATGGATGCTCAGCATGGGCTCTCCTGCTGCAGCTCTTGCTGGCGGTGGGTCCCTGGTTGGCACTGGCAGGGATGGCTGGAGCAAAAGGGTGTGAACGGAACAGGTACTGAAAGGGATGGGATAAACCGCGCTGGCGTGGGAGAGGCACTGCGACATGCCCTCGGATTTTCAATATTGCCACCTGCCCTTTGACATTCCCCTGTCATGACCCACCTTGGCATGCGAGAGGCACAGAGGCAGGGCGGCGAGGAGAATGGCCTGTGCAGCTGCTGCGTCCTGAGCTGACAGCACCGGTGATGAGGGCGAGGATGGGTTGAGGTGGGAGGACACGAACTCGCTCAGGCCTGACCTGGGAACGGCAGGGGATTGAGGATTGGGGAGGAGGAAGGGAGTGGATGAGGTGAGGTGAGGTTGATGCAAGCAGGAGAGAACAACTGGAGAGAATGAAGAAGGTCAGGAGGTGAGCCGTCAGGGATGTAAACCCGGAACAGGCAGGTTGTGAGATGAGACGATAACTAAGCGCAAGCGGAGGAGTGGCACAATGTGCTCACCAGAGAGGCAGAAGAGAAATGGCGATCCGATGATCGGAGGAGCGGACAGACGCACATCTGTGAAGGCGGGTTGGAGGGATGGAGTGGGGAAGAAAGTGAGTGGAGATGCAGAATTCTGATGGGGTTCACGAGAGTGGTATCCACGAAATACGAGTATGACAAGGAGCGGATGACCATCAACGAGAAAGCTCCAGCAAGGTGCAGACAATTCCAGCTTGCTCAGTAACGAATGCAGACAACGAGCGCAGACAACGAGCGCAGAGGCTATAAATCATGCTCAGTAACGGGAGGGACAGGGATCAATGATAGCAGCAGCAGGGAGGCTAGGCCGAGGCAGCAGTGGTCTAAGGCGACGTGTGAGGTGAGGGCAGGGCAGCAGCGCGGAGTGTGCCTCAAGGCCGAATCAAGGCGTTCAGAGGGAGGAGCAAGGCAGTGGGAGGGAGCGAACCTTAAGGCTGCGGTGGCGAAGGGGTCACGTAGGTGAGGCGAGAGCAGCATGTGTGCAGGGCCCTGTGGCATGTGGTGCATGTATGGAGTCAGGTGCATGTATGCAGTCAGGTGCATGTAGGTGCGAGGTGGCGCAAGCATGGAGTGATGGTTAGTGTGCGATGCAAGAGTACCATGTTTTGAGACGTCTCAAAACTCAAAACTTTTGAGACGTCTCAAAACGAGCGATGCAAGAGTACCATGTGACAGACAGGCACTCGAGCCGGGTCTCTCAAACGAAGAAGACTACATGTTTAATGACAACACTTTTAGTCTTTGGGGGGAAAAAAAAATTGGAGATAAAAACGCCTGAATTGTTCTCCTTCCCCCGACATCCCTCTTGTACACCCAATATCCGAACCTCCCTGGGCTAACATGTTCCAACTTGTTTATTCAAACACTCGCATCCACATTAAAATCTGCAACAGCAGCAGATGCAAAAACAGCAAGAATCCACTCCTCCCGTTTTTGTTATTGCCAGCACCAACACCAGCACTGGCGACAAACCAGCCCACAAACCCCGCCCCTGCTGCGTGTAGAAAGTGAAGTTTTGAGACGTCTCAAAACTTCAATTTCTACACGTGGCTTCTCAAAGTACCAACACCAGCACTGGCGACAAACCAACCCACAAGCCCTGCCCCTGCTCCCAAACGCCCCCCTCCCTCCCACATACTCAGAATGCTACTCACCGCCAGGCCAAGATCTGCTATGGCCGACGCGAAAGCTGCCACCAGCCTCTCTCGCTCCTCCTCATCCATACTGCTTTTTCCAGCAGCACTGGAGAGTGTTGACGCAGGCAGAGAAGCAGCAGTAGTGTTGGAGGGAGGCGAGGCGAGGGGAGGGAAGGCGTCCGGGTGGGTGGTGGCGGCTTGGGAGAAGGAGGAGAGGAGGCGTGGGGTGATGGCCGGGAGTAGGGGCTGCAGGGAGTGGGTGAGGAGGGAGTGGGTGAGGAGGGAGTGGGTGAGGAGGGAGAAAACAAGGAAAGTGTCAGCAAAGGAGGGGACAAGGAGGGGGGCGAGCTTGGGATGAGTTTTGGGATGTGCCAAAGGACGACTGCTAGTTGTTGTGCTCTGGAAAGTGGTTCAATTCAGTGAGAGGGAACATTGCGTTGGTTGGACCGTCTCTGTGGTAATGCAGCTCCACGCTTAAGAGTATCAGAACCAGCTCCACGCTTAAGAGTATCAGAACCAGCTCCACACATACCCAAACCCTATTCCCTCCTCATGTGATACCCCCATGACACCCCATGCCATGCCTCACCTCGTGCCGGCTGGCCATCTCGCCCACCACTTCTGCTGCCACCTCGCACAGACTTGCTTCCTGATGCGTTTCGTGTTATGGGATGGAATGTTGCATGGCATGGGATGATGCATGGCATGGGACGGTGCATGGCATGAGATGATGCATGGCATGAGATGTTTGCATGCAATAAGGATGGAAGGGGGTTTGGGGGAAAGAGATAGGAAGGAGTTTGAGATTGAAAAGCGGGGAACAGGCACACATGCAAAAGTGGAGGGAAGCACAGAGGACATCACAAGTCTACCAACTTGCATTCTCCCATTCTCCTTGTATGTCAGTCCTTCCATTCTCCCTCTCTTCCCTCATCATCCCCCCTGTCTCTCCATCTCTCATTCCCTTCCTGCTCCCTGCCACCCATATTTTTCCCTCCTTCCCTTCCTTCCTCCCTCCCCTCGCTCTTCTTGCACGTGCCGAGAAAACACATACCTGGAGGGAATCAGCAGCCAGCTCCACCAATGGCAGCACATGTGACTGCCACGTGTCAGCTGCTAACAGGTCCGTGAGGAAACCAATCCGCACCTTCACAAACGAACAAGCGTTTCGGGAGACGACAACGGAAGGGGGGAAGAAAGACAACGGGGAGGAACCAAAACGAAGAAGGGGAGGTGATGAAAGAGCGTTTTTGAGACGTCTTGGGGGCTCTCTCTTATCAAGAAGGACGATGGGGAGGAACCAAAACGAAGAAGGGGAGGGAGAGAGGGAAGGGGAGGGAGGTGAGGGGGGCTTGTGGGGAGGGTAGACATGGGATGTTGGCTGCATGGCTGTACAGACACAGAGAGGGTAGAGACATCATCGGCACAGCCTTGCCTGGGAATTACCGAGCCACGACAAGGCTTTCAGTGATTCCCTTCGCATGCTCCATGAGAATAATGAAGCTTTCAGTGATTCCCTTCGCATGCTTCATGAGAATAATGAAGCTTTCAGTGATTCCCTTCGCATGCTTCATGAGAATAATGAAGCTTTCAGTGATTCCCTTCGCATGCTTCATGAGAATAATGAAGCTTTCAGTGATTCCCTTCGCATGCTTCATGAGAATAATGAAGCTTTCAGTGATTCCCTTCGCATGCTCCATGAGAATAATGAAGCTTTCAGTGATTCCCTTCGCATGCTTCATGAGAATAATGAAGCTTTCAGTGATTCCCTTCGCATGCTTCATGAGAATAATGAAGCTTTGAGTGATTCCCTTCGCATGCTTCATGAGAATAATGAAGCTTTCAGTGATTCCCTTCGCATGCTTCATGAGAATAATGAAGCTTTCAGTGATTCCCTTCGCATGCTTCATGAGAATAATGAAGCTTTCAGTGATTCCCTTCGCATGCTTCATGAGAATAATGAAGCTTTCAGTGATTCCCTTCGCATGCTTCATGAGAATAATGAAGCTTTCAGTGATTCCCTTCGCATGCTTCATGAGAATAATGAAGCTTTCAGTGATTCCCTTCGCATGCTTCATGAGAATAATGAAGCTTTCAGTGATTCCCTTCGCATGCTTCATGAGAATAATGAAGCTTTCAGTGATTCCCTTCGCATGCTTCATGAGAATAATGAAGCTTTCAGTGATTCCCTTCGCATGCTTCATGAGAATAGTGAAGCTTTCAGTGCAAAGGGCAGCGATACTAGTGCACTGGTACGCACGCACGTACGTACGTACCCATGAGAAGAGGCATCTGAGCGTCTTGTGTAGCAGGCTGAGGGCGACCGAACGATCCACTGCTGCTGCTGCTACTGCTCCCGGTGCTTCTTGGGACTGTGAGAGTGCTGAGAGTGACATAGACGAAGCTTTCTGCAGCAACGAGGCCACGAATTTGCTGTGGGAAAGGAGCTGCACGCCATGAGGGGGGGAAGCAGTGCGCGGGGGGGGAAGTTGGGACGACTTTTGAGGCGTGGGATAGGATCTGCATGCCTCAAAAAAGCTTTCTGCAGCAACGTGGCCACGAATTTGCTGTGGGAAAGGAGCTGCACGCCATGAGGGGGGAAGAGCAGTGGGCGGGGAAATGGGCAACTCCAGAGCATGTGGGGCATGGAAAAGAAAGAAGAGGCGAGACCGGTTTTGAGCCCTTGTATAGCCCGAGGAGAAGAGAGGGAGGGGTTGAGACAAGCAGGCTAAAAAATGCTGAGGACTCATGGGACGGACGGAAGGAGCCAGGAACTACATAGGGAGCAGCGGAGGGAGGGAGGGAGGGAGGGGGGGAGGGAGGGAGGGAGGGAGGGAGGGAGGGAGGGAGGGAGGGAGGGAGGGAGGGAGGGAGGGAGGGAGGGAGGGAGGGAGGGAGGGAGGGAGGGAGGGAGGGAGGGAGGGAGGGAGGGAGGGAGGGAGGGAGGCAGGCAGGCAGGCAGGCAGGCAGGCAGGCAGGCAGGCAGGCAGGCAGGCAGGCAGGCAGGCAGGCAGGCAGGCAGGCAGGCAGGCAGGCAGGCAGGCAGGCAGGCAGGCAGGCAGGCAGGCAGGCAGGCAGGCAGGCAGGCAGGCAGGCAGGCAGGCAGGCAGGCAGGCAGGCAGGCAGGCAGGCAGGCAGGCAGGCAGGCAGGCAGGCAGGCAGGCAGGCAGGCAGGCAGGCAGGCAGGCAGGCAGGCAGGCAGGCAGGCAGGCAGGCAGGCAGGCAGGCAGGCAGGCAGGCAGGCAGGCAGGCAGGCAGGCAGGCAGGCAGGCAGGCAGGCAGGCAGGCAGGTAGGCAGGCAGGCAGGCAGGCAGGCAGGGAGGCAGGCAGGCAGGCAGGCAGGCAGGCAGGCAGGCAGGCAGGCAGGCAGGCAGGCAGGCAGGCAGGCAGGCAGGCAGGCAGGCAGGCAGGCAGGCAGGCAGGCAGGTAGGCAGGCAGGCAGGCAGGCAGGCAGGTAGGCAGGCAGGCAGGCAGGCAGGTAGGCAGGCAGGCAGGCAGGCAGGCAGGTAGGCAGGCAGGCAGGCAGGCAGGCAGGCAGGCAGGCAGGCAGGCAGGCAGGTGGGCAACAACAGCAACCCAAGGTGAGAAACAGCACCCCTTACCCTTCCCCCTATGCAGAACATGTGCTTCCATTGTTCATTCGAACTCCCCATTCACCCCTCTCTCACCCCACAGTCTCCCCAGCCTTCCAACAGCACCCCTTACCCTTCCTCCCCACCCTCCCTTTTCTCCCACCTCCATGGCGAACACGTGTTTGCGCTGCAGAGTCACCACCCCCACGCCTTTCCATGCGGAACATGTGTATACGATTTTTAAGTAGACCCGGCGATCACTTCTCTCCCCACTCATTCACCTCCATGGCAAACACGTGTTTGCGTTACAGAGTCATCACCACACCCACGTTCCCCATATCATCCCACATAGTCCCCCCTCCCCCTCCAACCCCCCACTTCTCTCCCCACTCACTCACCTCCATTGAAAACACGTGCTTGCGTTGCAGAGTCACCACCCCCACGGACCACCGTTGCTCATCCGTGCACTCGTCCCCCACCGCCCCCAGTAGCTCCACCACTCCTCCCATCATCCCCCACACGTTCCCCGCGCCCCCTTCCCCTCCTCCTCCCCCTCCGCCTTCCGCTGCTGACGTGGCAGCTGCCAGCCTGGCCTCCAGGTCAGCCGCTGTGCCTGGCGATTGGAGGAGAAGCGCTGAGATGGACGCACAGATTTGAAGGAGAACCTGGGAGGCGGGGGGGAAGGGGGCGGTGAAACGGGGGCGGGTGGGGGGAAGCCCGGAGGACAAAAGGGGCCGGGGGGAAGGGGGAAGGGCGATTGCTCACGATGTGGCCACCTGGTGATCACCTGAGGCTCATTCATGTGGTAACCCGGTTCCTACTTGACGTTGTATACCTACTAGGTGGTTACCTCATTCTGGTTATTTCATGCTACTTATCCTATGCTTGTCACCTGGTGCTAGTTACTTCATCCTGGTTACCTGATGCTGGTTGGGTACGCAGCAGAATGATTGGAAGAGGGAGAAGAGAGCGGATAGCAACGCGGCTCGCGCTGACGAATCAAGAGCCGACAGCTGTAGCTGAATCTTGGACCGTAGCGTCTGTGCGGCGAACAGGATAAGCGCATTGGCAGACGGCGACATTCCCTGTGGCGTCTGCGAGGAGGAGGATGCTAGTAACGAGGCAGCACTAGCGAGGATGGAATGCGTGACCTGCCAGGCCTCCTGAGACTGCTGAAACGCGCCGAGCCACTGCCCAGCCGCGGGGTCGTTGGCCAATAGGAGACGATCTAAGGCCGCCTGAAGCTGCTCCTGCATCTGCTGCTGCGATGGCTGCGACATCTGCGACTGCTGCTGCGACATTTGCTGCTGCTGCTGGGGCTGCTGCTCCGCCATTATTTCGCTAATGGCGGAGAGCGCTACGGGGAAAGAAAGAAAGAAACGTAGGTAATAGAACTTCGCAGAATGGCTGGGATTGAATGAGGCAAGGTGCTGCGTTTGAAGTCTCTGGTGATACCGTGTTGCAGATTCTGCTGCAGATGTTGCCTGCCAGATTCTCAGGTTGAAAGTCAACTCATGAAGCTCTGAATGCAACGCACAGAAACGCGACAGGCACGCGCGAGACCGCTCTGAACCGTATCGTATAGCGTCGACTTGGTGTTTAGCAAGTGACTGAATCCACGGCAAAAGCAGCAGCTCGGGCGGCGATATTGATGGATGTCTGACACGGGAGCAATTTTGGAGATGATTTGGCGCGACAACTTCGTTACCAACCAATCCGGTTGAAGCTGAAATACAAAAGACACCAGTGCTAACTTTATTGTTATTTCCCCAACATAGTGGCCTCTTCTAGCACAACTTCACGCCAAGACGGAATGAGCACTCATCAACACTACGCTTGCCAGGAAATACAACATTTATAAGATAATCAAGAGCGAAGACCTAACTCATTTTAATCACAGCACTTTCAAGCAATGCTCTTGCGAATCAGCATCCCATCAACATTTATCCTACAGCACATCCTAACAGTCGACACTAACACATGCCACATCTAGCGGTCATTTGATGCTCTTGAGAGCATCGAGCGGAATTGGACGGTCAGCAACGAATCCTGGGCGTATGAAGGCGTCGGAAGGAGCTGGCATCTCCCAGAAGTTAGTGAGTGACTTGGCCCGGTCCACTCGCGCTGCCACTGCATCCCATGACATCAGATGCTGCAAGAAAGCCTCCACATAAACTGACCTTTTGTCAGGATAATCTGAGAGGTAGGCATGCTGGGAGAAGACAGGAAAAAAGGGGGAGATGGAGATGACAGGGGAGGGGCGAGGAGGAGTAATCAAACAGAGAATGCGGAACGAGGATAAGAATGCGGGAAAAAAAAAAGTGAGAAGAAAGCGTCACAGCTTCTGACAAGACGTTCTGTAGAGGAGCCAAAAAAGCGCCAGTCAGCACTGGGTATCACCCCACTGTCAACAACCAAAGCATCAGCCACACTGAAGCAGCAAGCAAACTGAAGCAGAAAGAGAGGCATTCAAGGCACCGTACCTCCCACAAGTCGAGCACTGCCAAGGGCTGCGGGAGTGGACAGAACAGGCGATGGCGAACGGGGAGGTAGGAGGATAAAGGGAAATGGTGGGAGGGAGGGGGCAAAGGGAACAGGAGATGGGGAGAAAGAGTGAGAGCAAAAAAAAAAGGGGGGCAACGGCGGTGGGTGGGGGGGAAAAAGGTGAGATCGCTTATAACATGGGTGCAACTGGAATAAACTCCAGGCGTGATGCTGCATGCAGGAACGTTTCCCGTTCCACATGTAGCAGCAATTGTGCGAAGCGAGTGTGCGACTCACGATGCGGTCAAAGACAAGCGGGTTGAAGGCATTGACTGTCCTCTCTACTCGCAGATGAGCCACCTGTAGGCGGTACGTGTTGGGCACTGGAAGGGCGAGGACATAGGGGAAGAAGGGAGGGATGGGGCTGATCATATTGTGATACAAATTCAGCCTGAATCTTGAAGGCTCAGCACCTTAAGATTTGCTCAACATAGCCACTGATTTTGCACAGCTGTTCAAACGTCAGGTTACAATAAAAGTGGCACGACGTGAGGAATGGCTAAACGCCTCAGCGGACAAAAACATGTCATCGGAACGCGTCCTATCAAGCATGTGAACACCCAGCACAGCAATTCCTACAATTCAGGAACATAACAGCTCACTTATCTTGTATATGTGTGTTTGTTTACGTTTCTTTAAACACACTTACAACCAAATCCACTCAGGATAGCTGATCCTATCATCCATGCACGTAGCATCTCAAGCTCACCTCGCATGTCTGCAAGCCACTCCTCACCTCGCATGTCTGCAAGCCACTCCTCACCTCGCATGTCTGCAAGCCACTCCTCACCTCGCATGTCTGCAAGCCACTCCTCACCTCGCATGTCTGCAAGCCACTCCTCACCTCGCATGTCTGCAAGCCACTCCTCACCTCGCATGTCTGCAAGCCACTCCTCACCTCGCATGTCTGCAAGCCACTCCTCACCTCGCATGTCTGCAAGCCACTCCTCACCTCGCATGTCTGCAAGCCACTCCTCACCTCGCATGTCTGCAAGCCACTCCTCACCTCGCATGTCTGCAAGCCACTCCTCACCTCGCATGTCTGCAAGCCACTCCTCACCTCGCATGTCTGCAAGCCACTCCTCACCTCGCATGTCTGCAAGCCACTCCTCACCTCGCATGTCTGCAAGCCACTCCTCACCTCGCATGTCTGCAAGCCACTCCTCACCTCGCATGTCTGCAAGCCACTCCTCACCTCGCATGTCTGCAAGCCACTCCTCACCTCGCATGTCTGCAAGCCACTCCTCTGGAACAACAGTTTCCACCTTGGCTGATGGAGGCAGACGAGATGAGCGGGGGAGAAACCAAAGGAAGGGGAGGGGCAAGAAGAGGCAAGGGAGCGGGAATTTGAGGCGCCTCAAAAGCTCACCTCGCATGTCTGCAAGCCACTCCTCTGGAACAACGGTATCCACCTTGGCTGGTGTAAGCAGATGAGAGGAGGGGAGGAGGAACAAGAAGTGGGGTAGGAGGACGAAGAGGATTGGGGGGGGGTAACAGAGGAGGGGTATGAGGAACAGAGGATGGGGCAGGAGAGGAACAGAGGTAGGAGGAACAGGAACAATGACGTCTAAAAAACCACTCGTAATGGAGTGGAAAGAGTAGCAGCATAGCTTATGAAGCAGGCGGAGGGGATGAAGTAAGAACGAAACCATTTAAACCATGTAATGTGGCGAACCACAATGAGTCGTGTTTTGAGTCGACTCAAAACACGGAGGGGATGAAGTTAGAACGAAACCATTTAAACCATGTAATGTGGCGAACCACAATGAGTCGTGCTTGAGATTAGCGAGAATTTCAATCACCTCTTTCCGCCCAGCGCAATACCTGACAGCAACAGGCATCCTGAGCCAAACGACAAGGCACAGGCCGGGCGGAAATTCCTCAGGAACCCCTTGACCGACCCAAAGTCCCGCTCCACCAGTGCGTGCAAGCTTTCCATACATCCCAGATTTTACCTGAGAGCCACACGTATCCTGAGCCGAACGACAAGGCACACGCCTGTCTGAACTCCCTCTGAAACCCCTCGACCGACCCAAAGTCCCGCTCCACCAGCCGCAGCATCTCCCCCTCTGGCCGGTTGCCCCCCTCCCTGCCCGCTGCCTCGTCTGCCGGCTGCAATCCCGAGAAGAAGAACTCGTGATTCCACGCCTAAACAGGGGGGTAGGGAGGGGAGGTGGGAAAGACGTCCGGGGAGGAGAGAGTAGGGGGAAGAGGGGAGGAAAAGGTGGGAAAGAGGTTGGGGGAGGAGAGAGTAGGGGAAATCAGCCGCAGCACCTCCCCCTCCGGCTGGTTGCCCTCCTCCCTGCCCTCCACCTCATCTGTCTGCTGCAAGCCCGAGAAGAAGAACTCGTGATTCCACGCCTAAACAGGGGGAAGGAGGGAGAGTGGGGAAGGGGAGAAAAGAGGAGAGGGTGCGGGGGAAGCTTGGGGGAGTGAACAACCCCTGCTACTGCTATTCCATAGCCCACCATCCCCACTAGCATTACAGGGTCCTCTTCCCGCCCTCTGCCCCTTCTGCCGGCTGCAATCCCGAGAAGTAGAACTCGTGATTCCACGCCTACAAGGGGAAGAGGAGGGGAGAGAGTGAGGGAAGGAAGGAGAGAGTGAGGGAAGGAAGGAGAGAGTGAGGGAAGGAAGGAGAGAGTGAGGGAAGGAAGGAGAGAGTGGGGATGTATGAGGGAGATGGGGGAGTGAAAGCAGTTGCTCATTGACGTCCTTCCTTCCTCCTTGCCTGACGGGACAACCATGACCCTGCCATCCAATTGTATGAAAGGCCTCTCTTACACACTGCCTACTGTAATCCCCCCATTTTATTGCACGAGTCCCTCGTTATAAGCACATCCTCACCCCACCCCCTCCCCTCCCTCCTATCTTCCTCCTCTCCCCTCCCCCCCACTTCTCCCACCTCAGCAGCGAGGTTGAAGCAGGGAAGGGGGTTGCCCCCGTTATAAGCCACCTTCACCAGCTCCTCCAGCGGCAGCCGCTTCAGCGCCAGGTCAGCGTCCAGCTGGCGGTTCAGCGCCGCCAGCTGGCGCCCGTGGTGCCCCGACCAATGGGCTTCCAGCGCCGACCGCGAGATGTGTGGCTCTAAGGCATCCTGTGGGAGGAAGAGTGGAAGGGCGGAGGAGGAAAGGGGGGAAAGGGAAAGGGGTAAGGGTGGAAGGAGAGGAAACAACAGGGGTTTAGCGGGTAGGGAGGAGGGGGTGGGGGAAGGGGGAGGGGTCCCCGAGGGAAGAGTAGAGATGATAAAAGATGACGGGGATGAGCGAGGTTTGAGGTTTAAGACGTTGCCATGCGCCATCCTTAAACCCAAAACTCAGGGCAGGGGCAAGCATCAGGGGCGGCGCATCTACCACAAGCACCCGCTCTGCCGGCGCGCGGGTTAAGGGTTTAAGCGGGGTGGAGCGCGTACCAGCTGGTACGGCAGCGGCGCTAGCTGGTGATCCCCCACGGCGCGCACCACCAATAGCCCCCCGCGCTTGCGCGCCCCCTCCGCGGATGGCGCTGGTCTTCCGCGCGCGGGTGTCCGCACGGGGGTGATTCGCACGCCGCTTATCCGCGCAAGGCCAGCCTGACGGGAAGAGGGGGGAACGTGAAGGGGGGAGAGGGGGGGTGGGAAGGTGGGAGAGGGGAGGAGAGGGAGGACACGAAAGAAGAGCTGGCGTTAAGAGAAAAGCAGCGAAGGGGGATACTAGCAGCGAGGCGCGATACTAGCAGCAGAATACGATAGTGATATCGCGACTTGGTGCGCTGGCGACACAAAGCTGACCGCGATCAGTCTGACGCGATCGAGCTGACGCAATCACAACACCGCACATATTTCTAGACGGGAAATAACAGATAGAGAGGTTGCACAGCGAAGCAGCGGCACCTGAATGCGTTGTCGCACGCCCGACTCGCTGCCCGCATTACACGGCGCAACGGACGCCGTCGCTCGTTGTCGGCCGAGCGTTGATCTCGACAGTAGCGGGGATGCGCTTTGCATCGGTAGGACGCGACTAGTCGTCGCCATGACTAATGATATCGATGGGGGTAAGCCGCCGTCCACAGGGAGTTATGTCGAAGAGGAGGGCGATGGTTGCGGGCCTCTCAGATAACTCGTTATAAGAGCCCGAATCGCGTGAGGCGTTGACAGTGCTAAAACAACCTTGCTGTCCTCGTAAAGGCTTGTGCTCTCCTAACCTTTGACGGGACTGGTTTTGGCGGGAAGTTAAGGCTCGCGGGGGAACGTGACGGTTTGGTTCGGTGCAAGTCGGATTCACGAAGGTGCAAGTGTGCCAGCCCCCGCCAAATCTGTTGCGTACACACTCTGTAACCGTAGTTTGTGTGCGAAGAGAAGGGAGTTTCGCAATCGAACTCTAGTGCGCCCTACTTTTCGATCTGGGCTGTTACACAGTACAGTCGTGTATTTTCAGGTATTTCGTACCAGCCACGACATTCCCCAGGTTCCATATCTTTCCCAAGGCCGGATCATATTTGGTTCCATTTTGCTCCAAACCCTACCCAAACGTATAGAAGTGTAAACAAGCCGCTCCGACAAGCACAGAACCTCAATCAAACGCAATTGTGAACTCATTTGTTCAGCTTGGCGGTGGAGGGCTTTTAGCGTGAAACACGCCAGCCGCTGTCTGTCTCCCCCATTCCTTCCTCCCGCTGAGCGTCAGGTTTCCCCCTCATTGCTTTTCTGCCATTCTATGGTTTGAACTTCGTGCCAGATTACATTTTTTTTGGAGAAAATCAAAAGCTCCTTTTCCTGTCGCTCAATCGTTTGAAATCCACGGCGGATCGCGCCACAACCCCGTGAATCCCGTTTGATCAGGCATTATCCAGACTTTGATGATGGCCCTCCGTGCGGTAGGTGCGCCATCGAACGCGCTAACAGGCGATCTCAGCATTGCAAGCCCGGTCCATTCGCGACTTTCGCGACATTTGCGACATTCGCACCTGGAGAATGCAGCGTCGTTTATTTGCGGCTTTTCGTCGCTGAGCGTCGCACACCCAATCAGAGGCCAGCCAATGAGGTCGCGCCGCGGCTCGCGGCGCGATGCGAATAAAGGCGGAATGGTGCCGATCCGCGCGCTCGACGCAGCACAGCCGTTCGATTACGAGCATCGACAGGTGAATGTACCTACGCGCCGACGAGTGACAATAGCGAGCATTAATAATAAAAAAAAGCTCTCAAACGAGTCACGCTCGAATCATTTGTTGTCGTTGTCTTTCGTCACTCTTAGCCCCCTGCTCCTTTTTCTCTCCCGTTCTTTTCCCCCTCTCGTCTCGCTAACGCCTTCTCCACTCCCCCAACCTCCCCCCACCAAATCGTTTTTGGTCATCCTGTCTCCCTTCCCTCTGGCCTCTCCGCCAATCAGAAGCGGCAGCTGGAAGAGAAGGGCAGGCTGAACATCGGCATTCTGGGCTTCGGCAATTTCGGGCAGTTCTTGGCGCGGCGCTTCGCGCGAAACGGGCACCGCCTGACAGCGTGGTCGCGGTCCGACTACTCGCAGGTCGCGAAGCAGATGGGCGTGCGCTTCTTCACGTGAGTGGGAAGGAAAGCTATTAGCACCGGTAGGGTAGCAACGAATGATGCGTGTGGGGTGAAGTCCAAGGGTGATGAAATGCAAGTCAACTCAGAAGCCAGGTCGCGAAGCAGATGGGCGTGCGCTTCTTCACGTGAGTGCCTGCCTGAGCGCGTTGGTATTGAGAAAAGCTGCCGTTTTGGTATTGAGCTGGATCTCCCCACCATGGTGCTTTTGAGGCGCCTCAAAAGCTCTTTTGAGGCGCCTCAGAAAAAGTTTGGTATTGAGGTGGATCTGCCCACCGTGGTGCTCCTGTGCACGTCCATCATCTCAAGCGACGCGCTGTTGCGCTCACTGCCTCCCCCCTCCTCCCTCCCTTCCCTGCCCTCCCTTCCCTGCCCTCCCGTTTCCTGTGCTCCTGTGCCATTGCCCCCCAGCGACATGGACGATTTATGTGAGAGGCATCCAGACGTGGTGCTCCTGTCCTGTCCTGTGCACGCCTCAAATGCACGTGCATCACTTTTGAGGCGCCTCAAATGCACGTGCATCACCTCCAGCGACACGCTGCTGCCTTCTCCCACCTTCCTTCCCCGCCCTCCCCTTTCCTGTGCTCCAGCGACATGGACGATTTCTGTGAGGAGCATCCCGACGTGGTGCTCCTCTTCACGTCCATCATCTCCAGTGACGGCCTGCTGCGCTCACTGCCGTCCCCGTTCCTCTGTACCCGTCCCCCCCTGCCCCTTCCCCCCAGCGACATGGACGATTTCTGTGAGGAGCATCCCGATGTCGTCCTCCTCTGCACGTCCATCATCTCCAGCGACTCGCTGCTGCGCTCGCTGCCGCTGCAGCGCCTCAAGAGGAACACACTCTTCGTGGACGTGCTCTCAGTCAAGGTCTTCCCCAAGATGCTGCTGCTGCAGGTGCGATGTGTGATGGCTGCAGTGCGGTGCATTGCAATGCAGTAGCTGCGCTCGCTGCCTCTGCAGCGCCTCAAGAGGAACACACTCTTCGTGGACGTGCTGTCCGTCAAGGTCTTCCCCAAGATGCTGCTGCTGCAGGTACGCTGATTGATTGCAGTGCAGTGCAATGAGGTGCAATGCGGTGCAATGCAGTAGCGGTGCACTGATCCTGTGTGCCAAGCACAACACGATGCTCTCTTCATGGACGTGCTCTCTGTCAAGGTCTTCCCCAAGATGCTGCTGCTGCTGCTGCAGGTGTGTTGTGATTTCCGACATGCAGTGCGGTGCAGTGCGATGCAGTAGCTGCGCTCGCTGCCTCTACAGCGCCTCAAGAGGCACGTTCTTTGTGGACGTGCTGTCAGTCAAGGTATTCCCCAAGATGCTGCTGCTGCAGGTAGGTGCGCTGGTTGGCTGCTGCTCGTGCGATGCGATGCGATGCGATGCGATGCGATGGAGTGCAGTGTGATGCGATAGAATGAAGATCTTCTCTGTCACGCTCCATTGATTCTGATATTCCTCCCTTTCGAGTTTGACATTCTCTGCACGCACCCCATTTGCGGTCCTGAGAGCAGAAACGGTTTTTTCTCATCTCCTCCCAAGCACTGAACACGTTCTCATCCTTCCTTCTCCATCCCCCTCCCCACCCACACACCAGGTGCTCCCCCCCGAGTTTGACATCCTGTGCACTCACCCCATGTTCTGTCCCAAGAGCGGCGAGGGGCCCTCTTCCTCCCATCAACTCCTCCCGTGCACATGTTCTAGTCCTCCCTTCTCCACTCTCCTCTCCCCACACACCAGGTGCTCCCCCCGAGTTTGACATCCTGTATACACACTCCATGTTTGGCCCCAAGGCAAACCCAGCGTCTCTCCCCTCCTTCCATGCCCATGTACTCATCTTACCTCTCCCCTCCCCACCCACACACCAGGTGCTCCCCCCCGAGTTTGACATCCTGTGCACGCACCCCATGTTCGGCCCGGAGACAACCATAGGCATTCACCCCTGCTTCCATGCCCATGTACTCATCCTACCTCTCCCCTCCCCACCCACTCCGCCAGGTGCTCCCCCCAGAGTTTGACATCCTCTGCACGCACCCCATGTTCGGCCCGGAGAGCGGCAAGGGCTCGTGGGAGGGGCTGTCGTTTGTGTTCGACCGCGTGAGGATCACACCAGGCGAGAGGGCTGAGAAGGCCGACCGCTTTCTGCAGATCTTCCACGGGGAGGTGAGGAGGTGGGAGAAGAAGAGGTGGGGAGGGGAGGTGAGATGGTGGGTGATGGAAGGAAGGAGCTCGTGGGAGGGGCTGTCATTCGTATTTGACCGCGTGCGCATCACCCCTGGGGAGAGGGCGGAGAAGGCCGACCGCTTTCTGCAGATCTTCCACGGGGAGGTGAGGAGGTGGGGGACAAAGAGGTGATGAGATGGGGGGAGTAGAGGAGGTGGGGAGGTGGTGATGAGGGAGTGGGAGGGAGGCAAGTGGATGGCCAGTGAGCAAAACTGCGCCTGTGATTGACTGAGCAGGCATCATGGTGGGCGAGAAGGAGGAGAAGGAGAAGGAGAAGGAGAAGGAAGAGCGTCTGATTTATGCAAAATTCCCATTTCTTATCCCCTCCCATCCCATCGCATCCCATCCCATCGCATCCCATCCCATCCCATCGCATCGCATCCCATCCCATCGCATCGCATCCCATCGCATCGCATCCCATCCCATCGCATCCCACCAACCTGCCCATCTTCCATGCATCAGGGGTGTCGTATGGTGGAGATGACGTGTGAGGAGCATGACAAGTATGCAGCAGGCACGCAGTTCATCACTCACACTGTCGGCAGGTGAGGGGCCCGCCCCGTGCTGCCTCTTCAAATCAAATCAAATCAAATCAAATCAAATCAAATCAAATCAAATCGAACCCTTCTTTTAAGTTTTACCCACGTCTGGCACCATTTTCCTTTGTCGCTCTTTATTAGTAATACAGGTAATAGTATTGATAGCAGCGATACTGATAGTAATATTAAGGATAGCAATATTAGTGAAACTCGTACCGCTACTGTATTTGTCAACGACGAGCCCATTTTACTCTAACGTTCTCCCCCTCTCCCCTCCCTTGTGTTGATACGCATGGATGCTTGAATGCATATGTCAATATGCATAAATCTCATGGAACCTGTATGGGTGCATGGGTGTGTGCATGTGTTACACCGCCATTGCATGCAGAGTGTTGGGCAAGCTAGGTCTGGAAAGCACACCCATCAACACCAAGGGATACGAGACGCTTCTCAACCTGGTATGGTTATAGTCACACACACCCTGCTACAATCACAGCATGATCGCATGTACAACACCACAGCCATTACATGCAGAGTGTTGGGCAAGCTAGGTCTGGAAAGCACACCCATCAGCACCAAGGGATACGAGACGCTTCTCAACCTGGTATGCTTGCACTCACACCCTGCAGCAGTCCCAGCGTGGCCTCATGCCCAGCATGCCGACATGCACAATCCACTTCACATCGTGCAATGTGAATCTCGACGCTGCATATTGGAGCTTGCGCTCTCTTGCTCTCTTTCCCCATCTTTGCTCTCTTTCTCCCTACCTCGTGTCTGCTGATTCTGCCGCGTTTCAAAAGCCACCAGCTGTGCCCTTTCACTTGCACTCCATGTGCAGGTGGCTTTTGAGGCACCTCAAAAGTCTTGTGCTGCTTTCTCATATGTCACCACGCATGCCTTCATGTGATGTGTGCACCACTGCAGGTGGAGAACACGGCGGGGGACAGCTTCGACCTTTACTACGGGCTCTTCATGTACAACACCAATGCCACCGAGGAGGTAGGTTTCTATTATGGCTGACAGAAGGCATACATTTCTGCGAGGCCGTTTTGACACGGCAGGGTACAGCTTCGACCTTTACTACGGGCTCTTCATGTACAACACCAATGCCACCGAGGAGGTAGGTTTCTATTATGGCTGACAGAAGGCATACATTTCTGCGAGGCCGTTTTGACACGGCGGGGGACAGCTTCGACCTTTACTACGGGCTCTTCATGTACAACACCAATGCCACCGAGGAGGTAGGTTTCTATTATGGCTGACAGAAGGCATACATTTCTGCGAGGCCGTTTTGACACGGCAGGGTACAGCTTCGACCTTTACTACGGGCTCTTCATGTACAACACCAATGCCACCGAGGAGGTAGGTTTCTATTATGGCTGACAGAAGGCATACATTTCTGCGAGGCCGTTTTGACACGGCAGGGTACAGCTTCGACCTTTACTACGGGCTCTTCATGTACAACACCAATGCCACCGAGGAGGTAGGTTTCTATTATGGCTGACAGAAGGCATACATTTCTGCGAGGCCGTTTTGACACGGCAGGGTACAGCTTCGACCTTTACTACGGGCTCTTCATGTACAACACCAATGCCACCGAGGAGGTAGGTTTCTATTATGGCTGACAGAAGGCATACATTTCTGCGAGGCCGTTTTGACACGGCAGGGTACAGCTTCGACCTTTACTACGGGCTCTTCATGTACAACACCAATGCCACCGAGGAGGCAGATTTCTAATATGGCTGACAGAAGGCATACATTTCTGCGAGGCCGTTTTGACACGGCAGGGTACAGCTTCGACCTTTACTACGGGCTCTTCATGTACAACACCAATGCCACCGAGGAGGCAGATTTCTATTATGGCTGACAGAAGGCATACATTTCTGCGAGGCCGTTTTGACACGGCAGGGTACAGCTTCGACCTTTACTACGGGCTCTTCATGTACAACACCAATGCCACCGAGGAGGTAGGTTTCTATTATGGCTGACAGAAGGCATACATTTCTGCGAGGCCGTTTTGACACGGCAGGGTACAGCTTCGACCTTTACTACGGGCTCTTCATGTACAACACCAATGCCACCGAGGAGGTAGGTTTCTATTATGGCTGACAGAAGGCATACATTTCTGCGAGGCCGTTTTGACACGGCAGGGTACAGCTTCGACCTTTACTACGGGCTCTTCATGTACAACACCAATGCCACCGAGGAGGTAGGTTTCTATTATGGCTGACAGAAGGCATACATTTCTGCGAGGCCAGTTTGACACGGCAGGGTACAGCTTCGACCTTTACTACGGGCTCTTCATGTACAACACCAATGCCACCGAGGAGGTAGGTTTCTATTATGGCTGACAGAAGGCATACATTTCTGCGAGGCCGTTTTGACACGGCAGGGTACAGCTTCGACCTTTACTACGGGCTCTTCATGTACAACACCAATGCCACCGAGGAGGCAGATTTCTATTATGGCTGACAGAAGGCATACATTTCTGCGAGGCCAGTTTGACACGGCAGGGTACAGCTTCGACCTTTACTACGGGCTCTTCATGTACAACACCAATTGCCACCGAGGAGGTAGGTTTCTATTATGGCTGACAGAAGGCATACATTTCTGCGAGGCCGTTTTGACACGGCAGGGTACAGCTTCGACCTTTACTACGGGCTCTTCATGTACAACACCAATGCCACCGAGGAGGTAGGTTTCTATTATGGCTGACAGAAGGCATACATTTCTGCGAGGCCGTTTTGACACGGCAGGGTACAGCTTCGACCTTTACTACGGGCTCTTCATGTACAACACCAATGCCACCGAGGAGGCAGGGTGCTAGTGTGGTGGACATGTATCGAGCAAATATTATTCTAAAGGCACGTCTACTATGAGCTCTTCATGTACAAACACGAATGTTAAAGAGTAAGACACGGTGCTAGTGTGGCAGGGAGACAGAAATTATGTACCTTGCTTCCGTCTCTCCTCTTCTCTCTCTTTCCCATCCACTGTCGCCCCCCCCCCCCTCATCATGCTCCCTCCCTTGTGCAGCTGCAACGTCAGGAGATGGCTTTCGATGAGTCTGTTCTTTGAGAATTCTAAAACAACAGACGCATTGAAGAAGCAGCTACTGGATCAGCTGCACGACGTGCTGCAACTGCAGCTCTTTGGCGTGCCCATCGCTCCTCTTTCCTTTAATCCCCCTCACCCTCCCTTGTGCAGCTGCAACGTCTGGAGATGGCATTTGATGCATTGAAGAAGCAGCTGCTAGATCAGCTGCACGACGTGCTGCGACTGCAGCTCTTCGGCATGCCCCCTTCCGCCACCGCCCTCCCTTCCACCTCCCCTCCCTCCTCCTCATCCTCTCACTCCTCTTCCTCTCGCGCCTTCTCTCCCTCCCCACTCACCTCCCCTGTTCCCCGATCCCCCACGTCTGAACGAGCTCGCCCCTCCTCCCTTCCCCGCCAGCCATCGTTCCCTCCACCCGCCTCTGGCGGTGTGACACGAGGCGCTGGTAACCGCAGTAGCAGTGGTAACAGCAGCGGCAGCAGCAGTAGTGGGTTTGAGTCAGAGGGTGAGGAATGGAGGCCAAAGGGGGCGGCACATAGCCAAGTGTTTGTGGATCAGGAAGTGCCGGGTGGGGTTGTGATTGATGGTGCTTCTGCTGCGGTGTATTCGTTTGGGGACAGCACGGAGAGCAGTGAGAGTGAGGAGGAGAGTGGTGGCAATGGCAAAGGGAAGGCGGCATCGTCACAGGCACGGAGGAGATGAGAAGGATCGGAGAGATGCGAGAGATGTTTCTAGAGGAATGGCATGAATGGCAAGAATGGCATGGAGTGGATGGAGCAGTGCGAGTGAGGATGAGAGTGGTGGCAATGGCGAAGGGAAGGTTGCATTGTCACAAGTACAGAGGAGTTGAAAAGCACTCGATCGATGACATAGAGAGCCAAGAAATAACGCTTTGGAGATAGATACGTGAATATTATGCATCATCTTTGGTTAGGCATACTGTTGTTAATTCTAGTATGCCAGCTGTAACAGTTGGTTTGTGTTAGCTTCATCTCCCTTGGTTCTTGTGAGCAACACACTGAGGTTTATCGAGATGTATCGCGGTGCATACGAATCCTTCAGCGGTACTGACTTCAGGTTCGGAGTTCGACGCGGTCATTTATCGATTTGCCACGACGCAGTGAGCGACAGTGCGGTGCAGCGTGGTGGAGTACTGTGCGTTCCCATTGGCGGCATCAACTGCTGTGTTTGCCACCCGCACTAAAAGCCTGCTGCATAATAGCCTTGCTCCTTCTACTAATGGTTCGCTTCTCTTCCCATCGCTCCGCTCCGTCGTCCTCCTCTCGCCTTGCGGTTTGCCCTCGTCCACTCCTCCCTCTGCGAGTGTTTTCAGTCGCCTAAAAGTGAAGGCTTTTGTGTGCTCGCAATCGCCTTTCTTAGCGGACAACTCGCTCGGAACCTCAAGATGTCGTACTCGCTATAGCTCTTGTCGCGCTAAGCGCAATAAACTCATGGATTCGCTGGACCACAATATCCTCGTCGACATTCTCACTCGCGCGCGCCTCGAGCCGTTGGATCTCTGCCGTTTATCGACGCTCGGCCGCAAATGGCGCGCCGCGTGTCGCGCGCCGTCGCTCTGGCGCCGCCTGCGAGCGGACGGCGAGGCCGGCGGGAATCTGTACGGCGCGGGACTGGAGCAGATCGCGTCGCGGTGCGGAGAGACCGAGGAGATTAACATCACTCATCTGCACATTCTGGTATACCGAGAAACGATAATCGATCATAGCGTGTAGGGATGCGTCTTGTATCGCGTACATGAATGCATCTGCAAGCTGTAATCGTCGACCGTGGGTGTCATCATCATCATCATCATCATCATCATCATCATCATCATCATCATCATCATCATCATCATCATCATCATCATCATCATCATCATCATCATCATCATCATCATCATCATCATCATCATCATCATCATCATCATCATCATCATCATCATCATCATCATCATCATCATCATCATCATCATCATCATCAGCAGCAGCAGCAGCAGCAGCAGCAGCAGCAGCAGCAGCAGCAGCAGCAGCAGCAGCAGCAGTAGCAGCAGCAGCAGCAGCAGCAGCAGCAGCAGCAGCAGCAGCAGCAGCAGCAGCAGCAGCAGCAGCAGCAGCAGCAGCAGCAGCAGCAGCAGCAGCAGCAGCAGCAGCAGCAGCAGCAGCAGCAGCAGCAGCAGCAGCAGCAGCAGCAGCAGCAGCAGCAGCAGCAGCAGCAGCAGCAGCAGCAGCAGCAGCAGCAGCAGCAGCAGCAGCAGCAGCAGCAGCAGCAGCAGCAGCAGCAAGCAGCAGCAGCAGCCTGTTCCTGCTGCTGCTGCTGCAGTCGCTGCTGCAGCCTGTTCCTCCTCCAGCTCTCTCTTCCCCATTTCCTCCCCATCACCCTTTCCCCCCCAGGAGCGCCCCAACCCCTGGCTGCACCACGGGCTGGAGCTGCTGCTGCTGCTGCTGCTGCTGCCTGTTCCTTGAGCACTACTCTCTCACTTCTTCTTCTCTCCTCTCTCTCTACCTCTCCTTTACCAATCTCACCTCCAGGAGCGCCCCAACCCCTGGCTGCACCACGGGCTGGAGCTGCTGCTGCTGCTGCTGCTGCTGCTGCTGCCTGTTCCTTGAGCACTACTCTCTCACTTCTTCTTCTCTCCTCTCTCTCTACCTCTCCTTTACCAATCTCACCTCCAGGAGCGCCCCAACCCCTGGCTGCACCACGGGCTGGAGCTGCTGCTGGAGGACACGGGGGGGAGGCCCTCACGCATGGGCTCCCATCTCCCCGCACATGCCTCTCAATCCACGCTCGCCCATCCCTCCCCATCACCCCTCCCGCCCACAGGAGCGGCCCAACCCCTGGCTGCATCACGGGCTGGAGCCGCTGCTGGAGGGCACCAAGGGAGGGCCCTCACGCATGGGCGCCCATCTCCCCGCCCACGCCTCTCAATCCACGCCCGCCCATCCCTCTCCACCCATCTCACCTCCCAGGAGCGGCCCAACCCCTGGTTGCACCACGGGCTGGAGCTGCTGCTGGAGGGCACCAAGGGAGGGCTCAAGCGTCTAAGCCTCCAGTTCGAATGGCAGGTGCGTGCTTGGGAGGTGTGTGCTTGGGCAGGTGCGTGCTGGGGCAGGTGCGTGCTTGGGCAGGTGCGTGCTGGGGAGGGTGGGTATGGCAAGAGGAGGGTGGGTATAAGGGAGGTTGGGCAAGCAAGGTGCGGTGGGCTTGCGTTTCACAGCATCCACTGCTCTCCACACGAAGTGCTCTCGTGCTCTCGTGCTCTCCTGCTCTTGTGCTCTCGTGCTCTCCTGCTCTCGTGCTCTCGTGCTCTCGTCGTGCTCTGCTTCATCTTTACTTCAACTAACAAATTGCTCTTTTGCAGTCCAGCTCTCGTGCTCTGCTTCTGCACGGCTTCTTTCTCCAGTTCCCCTGCGCAGTTTTGAGACGTCTCAAAAGTTCACTTTTATTTATTGCTCTTCTGCAGGGCTTCTTGCTCCAGTTCCCCTGCGCAGTCTGCCACCCTTCAACATTGACAGCGCTGCCGTGCCTCTGCTCCCATGATCTCTCGCTTACTCCCTGGCACCCTTCACTTCACCGCTCGCCGCTCGGAACCCCTCTGCACCGTGCTGCACTCCTCCACACCCCACCCCACCAGGTTCCGTTCACGGACCGGCTGCTGGGGGCGGTGGGGCGGCTGTGCCCTGGTCTGGAGGAGTTCACGTTGATCGCTGCTGATTACCTCGTCACTGAGACTGCTGTGAGTTGACTTGCATTGACTTGCGTTGACTTCTGCGTTGACTCTGAATTGGAGGTTTTCACGTTGCTTGCTTGTGAGTCAACTGCTGTGCCCCGCTTTGGAGGCGTTCAAGTTGGTAGCTGCTGACTACCTCGTCACTGAGACTGCTGTGATTTGACTTGCGTTGACTCCAGTTGACGTTTGCGTCGACTTTTGAGGCGTCGATGAATTGAGTAAATGGTGAGAGTCTTTCTGGGAGTTCAATCCTGATCACCTCATTATCGAGTCTGTGGGTTCCTTTCCCCATCCACGCCCCCTTCCTATCCATTGCCCCCCTCTCAACAACTCTTTCCAATCCCCCGTCTCCCCCTCCGCCCATTCACAACCCCCGCCAGGTAGCGGCCTTCTTACGAGCCTGCCCGAAGGTCCACACCTTTCATTGCTACGTGCGATCTGCCATCCCCATCCACAGCCTGGGAGATAATCTGCTGTGGCAGGTCGGTATGGGGCTGACTCAATGGGCATGGGGTTGACTCAATGGGTATGGGGCTGACTCAATGGGCATGGGGTTGACTCAATGGGCATGGGGTTGACTCAAGAAGCATGGGGTTGACTCAATGGGCATGGGGTTGACTCAATGGGCATGGGGTTGACTCAATGGGCAAGGGGTTGACTCAATGGGGATGGGGTTGACTCAAGAAGCATGGGGTTGACTCAATGGGCAAGGGGTTGACTCAATGGGCATGGGGTTGACTCAATGGGCATGGGGTTGACTCAAGAAGCATGGGGCTGACTCAATGGGTATGGGGTTGACTCAATGGGCATGGGGTTGACTCAATGGGCATGGGGTTGACTCAAGAAGCATGGGGTTGACTCAATGGGCATGGGGTTGACTCAATGGGCATGGGGTTGACTCAATGGGCAAGGGGTTGACTCAATGGGCATGGGGTTGACTCAAGAAGCATGGGGTTGACTCAATGGGCAAGGGGTTGACTCAATGGGCATGGGGTTGACTCAATGGGCATGGGGTTGACTCAAGAAGCATGGGGCTGACTCAATGGGCAAGGGGTTGACTCAATGGGCATGGGGTTGACTCAAGAAGCATGGGGTTGACTCAATGGGCATGGGGTTGACTCAATGGGCATGGGGTTGACTCAGGAAGCATGGGGTTGACTCAATGGGCATGGGGTTGACTCAATGGGCATGGGGTTGACTCAATGGGGATGGGGTTGACTCAAGAAGCATGGGGTTGACTCAATGGGCAAGGGGTTGACTCAATGGGCATGGGGTTGACTCAATGGGCATGGGGTTGACTCAAGAAGCATGGGGTTGACTCAATGGGCATGGGGTTGACTCAAGAAGCATGGGGTTGACTCAATGGGCATGGGGTTGACTCAATGGGCATGTGGTTGACTCAATGGGCAAGGGGTTGACTCAATGGGCATGGGGTTGACTCAAGAAGCATGGGGTTGACTCAATGGGCAAGGGGTTGACTCAATGGGCATGGGGTTGACTCAATGGGCATGGGGTTGACTCAAGAAGCATGGGGCTGACTCAATGGGCAAGGGGTTGACTCAATGGGCATGGGGTTGACTCAAGAAGCATGGGGTTGACTCAATGGGCATGGGGTTGACTCAATGGGCATGGGGTTGACTCAATGGGCATGGGGTTGACTCAAGAAGCATGGGGTTGACTCAATGGGCATGGGGTTGACTCAATGGGCATGGGGTTGACTCAAGAAGCATGGGGTTGACTCAATGGGCAAGGGGTTGACTCAATGGGCATGGGGTTGACTCAAGAAGCATGGGGTTGACTCAATGGGCATGGGGTTGACTCAATGGGCATGGGGTTGACTCAATGGGCATGGGGTTGACTCAAGAAGCATGGGGTTGACTCAATGGGCATCAGGTTGACTCAAAGGGCATGGGGTTGACTCAATGGGTATGGGGTTGACTCAAGAAGCAAGGGGTTGACTCAATGGGCATCGGGTTGACTCAAAGGGCATGGGGTTGACTCAATGGGCCTGGGGTTGAGTCAAAAGCCGGGGATGCAGCCTGCTCTGCCAGGGTTGGATGCTTGTTGTGAGGTGTCAGACAGTGTACATTGGTTGGTAAATATCCCTTCTTCTATCGGCCAATTTCATGCATGCTGTCTACCACCATCCACCATTCATGCCATCACCACCATCCACCATCCACCATTCATGCCATCACCACCATCCACCATGCACCATGCATGCCATCATCCACCATCCACCATGCAACACATGACCCCATCAGGTGAACCGCAAGTGGCCGCACCTCCAGTCCCTGGCCATCAACGGTAACCACATCACGGAGAATGGCGTTTTTGCGCTCGCATCCTGTGTGCACCTGCACTCTCTGTCCCTACACGGCTACCACAGGTGCGACACACTAGGGCGGCCGGCATTAGGGCTACAGTAACACACATGCAGCATCTGTCACATCCTCACTCCTCACGATTGCTGTATCTGTCATTTTTCCAAGTCATGTTACATGATGGCGTTGTTCTTATGTCCTCGTGCGTGTCATGTCATGGTGTGCCATAACATTGTGTGTTGAGTCTCATGCTGTCACATGTTCTGGCATGCCATCTCATCACATGTCATATACTCATCCTTCTCTAGTGGAATTCCTCACCTCGCATGCTCCTCCCCAACCACATCTCATCCCGCTATCTGCACAGGGGCATTTTCGAGCGAGCCAAAACAACGGCAGACAGTGAAGCATCCATCTTCCCCGCCCTGTCCTCCCTTTCCTTCTCCTACAACCTCCCCACACCCGCCGAGCTCCGCCGAATCCTCCGCATGTGTCCCTTGCTCTCCTCACTTGTGCTGCACCCCTCACCTCCTCCTCCCGAGGCCACACCTGGCAGCCCCAGCAGTGGGCTTGTGAGTGGTAGTAGAGGCATGCATGAAGCTGTAACTTTAAAGGGGGTGGTTGAGCAGGAGTGTGAGGGGGCTGTGAGTGTGATTATAGAGGAAGCGCCTGCGAAGAAGACTAGTTATGACTTGACTGCTGTTGCGCATGGCTTGGGGATCAAGGATTTGACCAAGTATTAACGAGCAAACAATGCTGCACTTAGTGATTTGATGACACATTGAGAGTGTTGGAAGTGTTGATGAAAGCTGACAGCTAGTGTGATTGCTGGGGCAATTGACATTGTTGATTACAAGTCATGGTATTTGTTCTGACATGCAGGACGATCACCCCCAGCCAGAAGCCACTATCAGGATTTACATTCATTGTTCCCACGTGTTTGTAATGTGAGGTACGGTAGCTTTGCTCTATCCGTTTATCCACCAAATTGGTCCAATGTAATCAGAGAGCAACAAAGCGAACACTGTCATTGTCTTGATTCTTCTAGCATTCGGAGGTGCTGCTTCTTCCAGATTCATCGCTTCCTTCTTGTAGCAGCAATTCCAAATCTGACACCGTCACAGAAGCATGACTGGCAGTGGACTGCCGCGAGCGGTTTCCATCAATGCTGCTAACCGAATTCCGATCCAATCCAGAATCTCGAACAGAAGGTCGGGAAAGCAAATGCCTTCCAAGGTTCTTCGCAATCTCGTATTCCCGCTCGCTGTATATGCTACTCCTGTTGACGGCAGTACTGTTACGCGGCGGGCGTATTGCAGAAGAACCTGGTTCTGCATTGGTCATGCCCTGGCTCGGCGAAGGAGCGCTAGGCTGACGGCTTAAGATGCTGGGTGATTTCATCTGGTGTTTATTCGTGCCAGATAGACCCTGGTTAAACAGGCCATTCTGATAAACCGATCTAAAAGGTGGCCGGAGGTCGGACGACGGTGCGGAAAAACGAGCAAGCGACTGCTGAGGGGAATTTTTGTTGAGATTTTCAAAAGTGCCATTATGGTTACCGAAGACGTAAGATAGGGAGGGACAATGCTCTTCCACAAGTGGTTGGAGCAACTCGGTCACTGCAAAAGAATAGTCGTCAACACAACATAAAACTCATGATGGTCTGGTAATGTCCAAACACACACCTGGAGGGACTCGAGAAGTATAATCATAAACGCTCATTTTTGGACTTCTCGACATGACCTGCAAAAAGATGGTGTTGTGCCTGGAATGTTAGCAAGACGGTGATCTTGTCGTGAATCTGGTCAATTTCGCGGGAGGGAACTGCATGTGCAGTGGGAAGTGTGGGGTGGAACTTGTGCTGGACGATGGGTTGAAATGTGTATGGTTTGGGTGGAGATGGATTGGAATTCCGACAGCAGAAGGTTGGTTCAAATGTTGGAGGGAAACAGCGCATCCCAACAGAGAAACCCGATATTGTTACACGCACATTTATTTCCAGATTTTCCATTTGCATTGCTCATCCCTGTGACCGAACCCAAAACATACCCCTTAGTGGTGCCTCGGCACTCGGCACGGCAACACCACGCTGCAATCTTCACTGTGAAGCAGTGCAACTGCTCACACGTCACCTGTGTTGCCACGCAAGCCCTGCCCGTTCCTGGGGATGTAGGCCAGATCCGTTGCCTGAAACGAGTGTGCAAATAGAGAGGGCCACCCTGAGTGTTCGTGCTTGAAACTGCTACCCTGTGCAGCCAAACCCTACGTGCGTGCTAACCACGAGAACAGGAGGAACCGCAAGGCTGGTTGGGTGGAAAGGGCAGTTTGGGGTTGGCTGAAGGCAAAGCTTGACCGACCTTCACTCACACACACATGTGGTCACCATGTGGCCTTGCTTTCTGCTCCACATCCACAAACCTGCAGGGAGAGAGGGTACGGTACGGTAGGGTCAGTGTGGTTTCCTTTGTCGCTGCTTCATTTCAAGAGCCTTGTGTGAGGTGCCTTTGTGAGTGAAGCTGCTTTGTTGAAATTGTGGAGTGGGAGGTCATTTTGCGTTCGCTGATGGCGTCTGTCGGTCCCGTCCAGGTGGAAAATGTTCCTGGCGGTCTCGTGCCGTCTCTGCCGTTAGTCCGTACGCTAGCTTCTTCTCCCATCTCCCATCTTTTGTTCTTTCACAAGGCGATTAAGGCCGAGTTGGACAAGCTGCACACCACAGCGCTGGCCTTAGAACGTGGCGGAAAGAAGGACACGCAGCTGTTGCTGGAACGATATGAATTCCTTAGAATGGTGTACAAGTACCATAGCACGGCGGAAGACGAGGTACGCTGCACTTTAGACTGCTATACTGACGCGTTATGAAGTAGGCTTTGAGAATATCCGTCAGCTTTCTGACACGTTCGACTTTCTGCTTCAGGTGGTATTCCCGGCGCTCGATTCCCGGGTTAAGAACGTCGCTCATGCGTACACGCTCGAGCATAAAGTGGAGAGCGACCTTTTCGACCAGCTCTCCGACCTCGTATCCAACTTAAGACGCGACGAGACCACGGAACGCTGTCTATTCAGCCAGCTTATCTGCTGCACAGAGGCCTTGCTCACGGTGCTCGTGCAGCATTTGTCGAAAGAAGAAGAGCAGGTTAGTTGGTGCCGTAGTAATGGCTTCCGTCCTTCCAATTGTCGTACCGTAACTCGATTTATTGTGCGACCGTTTTCGCAGGCAGCTCACATAGTTAACGGTCATTTTTTTGCCATTCAGGTGTTTCCGCTGCTGGTAGAGCATTTCGACGCGGTGGAGCAGGCGAATCTAGTCTGGCAGTTTCTGTGCAGCATGCCGATAAAGCTCATGGAAGATTGCCTCCCCTGGATGGCTTCTTATCTTACGGAGAAGGAGCAGGAGCAAATGGTGGAGCACATGCATAAGATTGTCCCGCAAGAGGAGCTCTTGCAGGAGGTGAGTGGGTGTCGAATTCAGCATACAAGCCGTCGTTTCCGCCAGCAATGTGTCATGTTTTAGCTATCCTCTCGTGTTCTTTCCTTCCTTTCAGGTGGTTTCTGGCTGGATGAGCCGAATGCATGGCGTGTTTCCTAAAATACACGAGAGATGGACAGGATTGGTGAAGCCCAAGCTCTCGGGGTCTAAAATGGCTCCTCCAAAGGGCACGCTCCAGAAAGCTACCACGTCTAAAAACAGGCATCCCATTGACGAGTTGTTGTACTGGCACAACGCAATCAGAAAGGAACTGGAAGCTTTCAACAGAGAAGTGAAAGACCTGGAGCTTGACACCTTCGACAGTCTTATCAGAAGATACCGGTTCCTCTCAGATATTTGCGTTTTTCACAGGTAAGAATTTGCACGCATTCTCGTCCACAGGTGGATTTCGTTGCCTTACCATTCTCCTTTCCACCATCAGGTCATTTATGACTGTCTGAAGTGGTCCTCTTGGGTCACGGTGTTATCTTTCACTATGTTTATCTCTGCAGCACAGCAGAGGACCATGTGGTGTTCCCTGCACTTTCAACGCATTTAGACCTTCCGACACGCTATGTACAGGCCCATGCAAACGAAGAGAAGCTCTTTGCTGCAGTAGGGCATCTGCTGGACGAGGTTCGACATGTGATGGAGCACAGTCCTAGTGCTGCCGAGCCACTGCTTTCAGAGCTGAAGAAACAAGCACTGACCATTGTGGAGTCATTGGACCAGCACTTGCGAGCCGAGGAGGATGATGTAAGCTTGCAAATGCATTCTATTTCCAGTATGAGAGCGACCAATTACATCAAAGAAATTATGCAGCGTGCTGGTGTTTGATGTCTTGTTTTGATTTGGATGGTTTTCATTATATTTCTTTGTTTCGTTTCCCAATCTGATGTGCAGGTTTTCCCTCTGCTGCGGCAGCACTGCAGTCTGGATGAGCAGCGGCAGCTCGTCTACCGGTGCCTGCTAGTCATGCCTCTTCGGCTGCTGGAGCGTGTGCTCCCGTGGGTCATGACATTCGTCACAAAGGACGAGGCCACAGAAATTGTTGAGAACATGAAGCTTGCAGGTGAGAGTTCGTGTTTTTGGGTGAGGAGGAGTTTGTCTAGGGATTTACCAGGTTTCTTACATGCAAAGAGGCACATTTTTTATTCTTCCCCTGATTTTTGTGTTTTCGTTTTCTGTGCAGCTCCTGAAATTGATGTTCCTCTGGTCTCCCTGTTCACATCCTGGGCCAGTAAGCATCCACCCCAATCTGACGACACCACCACAGCATCCCAAGCCCTAGATTCCAGCCTTTTTGACCTTCCAAGACCATTTACAACAGCAAAATCAGGAGACCACTCAATACACTCGAGCGCATCCGCAGATGCAGCCTCATTGGAGGTGGGATCCCAGCGCACAGCAGCCAGCCCCAAGGACAGCGTCTCCACCCCTCCCTCCAAGCGAGCAAGGCTCCTCAGCAGCTCATTCCAGAGCTTACCAGCAATCCTAATCAAACCCGAGCCCCCCCCTCCCATGCAACTCTCTGCTTCCGAGCCTGGGTCTCTTGGTTCCAAAGCTCTCAGCTTCTCAAGCGCAGCAGGGCGCGCCCTCACTCGCTCATCCGCCTCCAGAGGGGGGTTTCTCACAGGGGGGGTCTTGGGTCCAGGGATTTTCTCAAACGACAGGGGTAGTTCGTCAAGCCAGCGGCCCATTGACGCGATTTTCCACTTCCATCAAGCTCTTAGGAAGGACCTGGAGTACCTTTCCGCTGAGTCAGCGCGGCTTGCCACGTGTGACGACGATGCCGCGCGCGATTTCAGCGGCCGGTTTCATTTCCTGTGGGGGCTGTACCGCGCGCACAGCAACGCCGAGGACGAGATTGTGTTTCCGGCACTGGAGGCGAAGGAGGCGCTGCACAACGTGAGCCACTCATACACGATCGACCACAAGCAGGAGGAGGAGCTTTTCGACGCAATCGCAGGCGTTTTGAACCAGCTCTCAGGGGTGATTTCGGCGATTAATAAAGCTAAGGGGGTAGCTGCGAAAGCGGAGGAGAGCGGAGGGGAGGAGGAGCGGGAGGAGGCGAGGAAGCAGGTGAAGGAGCTGGAGGAGAGGAGGAGGGAGCTGGCGGAAAGGGTGCATCGGATGAGTCTGTCAGTGCGGTTGTGCCTGGACCAGCACATCTCCCGCGAGGAGCTGGAGCTGTGGCCGCTGTTTGGGATTCACTTCAGCATGGAGGAGCAGGACGCGATTGTGGGGCGCATCATTGGCACCACGGGCGCCGAGGTG